TCACTAGATGAAGTACCTGAAGTAGTAAAAACAATAACCATTACACCCATAGACTGTATGTGGACAGATTAGTGTCACACATTTTCCTTTGTCTTTTCATAATGGTTTGTATTGAGATTTTAAGAACAGATTGTTTATGTTTAAGTGTGGGGTTTGCTGTGTATTAGCAAATGAATAGCATACACTTTGGGCAAAATTGTACCGTCCTTTTTAAATTAAATGAGAGTAGACGACAACTTCAGGTAACTGCTCATGAATGACATATCTGGACATAACAGAACTTGACATACCATGGTTAGCAGGTGGAGCTCCAGACACTGCTGGATCCTCCTCTGGGTGTGGCTGGTCAGCTGTGGGGATAAACAGATATCTGACAAATTTGAGACATCAATAGGCTGGAGGTTCTGCCACACACACACACACACACACACACACACACACACACACACACACACACACACACACACACACACACACACAAACTTTTCTTTTTTTTTTGAAGAAGCTCTGAATATCTCTGCTTCTCTTCATAACTATTCTCTTAACCCTAACCATGGGGGGAATGTAATTCAATCACTCAATCAGTCATTCAATTCACTTTGAAGTAATAGCAATAACTAGCAAGCAGGATCATTGTCAAATTGGGTTAGAATCAGTTTGCAAAATACAGGTGTTTTGTGGGGCCCTGGAACTCCTTAAATAACAGCTTTGACTCAATTAAAATGTCAAAAAAAAGGAGGTGTCAACAATGTGCCTAATTATGTCTATTTATAGGATCTACAAAAGGTTTATTTGTACATAACTACCACTCACTTTTAATAACAGATAACATATTGCATCTTAAGCATTTGTGGCATTTGAATGCAATTTGCTCTGCCTCTGCCTATTTAAACGTCTAAAATATGTGAACTGTGAAGATGAGCTAATTGATACAAACAAAAAGTCCTTTATCTTTTAAGAGCAAAAAGTCTTTAAACAGCCCTTAAATCACAGAGCAAATAAATAAGTTACAGCTTGTTCTTGTGTTATAGCCACTTAAATCTAGACTGTCCCGCTATATTTCAGACACTGTGAGCTCTATTGAACACACATCTGCAAACAAACACCCTCAGTCTTCAGTCCAGAAAACAGCGTTTCATATTTCATGGCGGGATCCTAATAATAAAAATAAAAAAAATGCTAACGTTCAATGCTTAACTTTTGCAGGCTGCTAAGATAGCCAGCTAGTGCAGTGTAGTTCGACTTTTAGCTGTTACTTAGTGCCAGATAAAGTTTTCCTACACATTCAGAGGGAACAACGATAACTAAACATTAAATTAGCATACCTCAATCTCAATCGACAGATTCCAGCGTTTTTATCGTTGTTGTATCGTCGCTGTTGTAAACTGTGACCGTCCTCCTGTTTCACGGACCAGCGGCAGATGCAGCGTGCTCATCTCATGGGTCACCTGACCTGCATGGCCAAATGTCCGCTGAACAGAAATTAGCTCTCACAGCCTCAGTACGACCATTACTGTGTTAGTTAAAAATGTAAAACTGTCCCTAAATCAGTTGTTCAGCTGTCATCATTGATTGACAGCATTTCTCTTGTTTCTTGTGTTGACGAACTTGACCAACTACCTATCAGATCTGGGGTGGCCACAGGGGTGGCCAATGAGCTTTCAGGGGTTGCCACGGCCACCCCAGGCCACCCCCCAGAATCGCCATTGCATCCACCCCACTGTCTTTCGAATTCCATGCTGCTCACCCGGTGCAATTAACCATTGTTGTCCTTTACCGTCCGCCAGGCTCCTTGGGTCATTTCTTGGAAGAACTGGACATTCTCCTGTCCAACTTCCCTGAAAATGGCCCTCCGCTCATCCTCCTGGGTGACTTCAACATCCAGACAGAGAAGTCATCTGACCTCTTACACCTACTTTCTTCTTTCGCTCTGTCACTCAGTCCCTCTCCTCCTACTCACAAAGCTGGCAATCACCTTGACTACATCTTTACTAGAAACTGCTCTACCACTAACCTCTCTGTTACTCCACTTCATGTGTCTGACCACTTCTTCATCTCTTACTCTCTCCCACTCTCTATAACTAACGTGCCTGCCCCATTGACTGACTCTGTACCTGTTCGTCGCAACATTCGCTCCCTCTCTCCCTCCTCCCTGGCCTCCTCTGTTCTATAAGCTCTCTCTTCCACTGTCTCCTTCTCACATCCGAACGCTGCTGCTGAGACTCTCCTCTCAACTCTTTCCTCCTCTCTGCCCTCTGACGACCCGACGGACTGGCAAATCCTCTCCGGCTCCGTGGCTGTCTCAACCGGTGCGTGCCATGAGAACCACCATCGGAAAGGAGATGGCGTAAATTTAAACGACCTGACGACCTGCTTGAATTTCAATCTCTTCTCTCCTCTTTTTCTGCTTCTATCTCTGCTGCCAAAAGCTCTTTCTACCAATCCAGAATCTAATCTTCATTTTCTAACCCTAAAAAACTCTTTTCGATCTTCTCCAACCTCCTCGAACCCCCTAGTCCTCCTCCCCCCTCCACCCTTCTTCCGGGTGACTTTGTCAACTACTTTACCAAGAAAATAGCTGACATACGCTCCTCTTTCTCAATCCCACCTCCTACTTATTGCATCCCACTAGCTTCACCTCTATCGCCCTCACTTTCCTCTTTCACCCCCCTGTCTCCTAACCAAATTCTTACCCTAGTAACCTCTGCCCGTCTGACCACCTGCCCTCTTGACCCCATTCCATCACATCTTCTACAATCTATCGCACCTGACCTTCTTCCTTTCCTCACCTGTCTCATCAACAATGCTCTGTCATCTGGCTGTTTTTCCAATTCTCTGAAGGAGGCAAGAGATAACCCTCTCCTGAAGAAACCTACCCTCAACCCTTCTGAAGAAAACAACTGCAGACCGGTCTCTCTTCTTCCCTTTTTGTCCAAAACTCTTGAACGTGCGATCTTTAACCAACTCTCCTCCTATCTCCACCATAACAACCTCCTTGACCCCCACCAGTCAGGCTTCAAGGCAGGCCATTCCACAGAGACTGCTCTCCTTGCTGTCTCAGAGCAACTCCACACTGCTAGAGCCGCCTCTCTCTCCTCTGACCTCTCTGCTGCATTTGACAGTCAACCACCAGATCCTTATTTCCTCCCTTCAGGAACTTGGTGTCTCAGCCTCTGCTCTCTCCCTTCTCTCGCCCTACCTCGACGGCCGCACCTACCGGGTAACCTGGCGAGGATCTGTGTCGGAACCTTGTCCTCTTACTACGGGAGTTCCTCAGGGTTCCGTCCTGGGTCCCCTTCTCTTCTCGCTCTACACCAACTCTCTCGGCGCTGTCATTCGCTCGCATGGCTTCTCCTACCACAGCCATGCCGATGACACCCAACTAATTCTCTCCTTCCCTCCCTCGGACACCCAGGTGGCGGCACGGATCTCTGGCTGTCTGACTGACATCTCTCAGTGGATGTCTGCCCACTTTCTGAAAATCAACCCTGACAAGACTGAACTATTTCTCTTTCCAGGAAAAGACTCTCCGACCCAGGACTTGACTGTCAACTTTGGCAACTCCGTGTTAACGCCCACTTTAACCGCTAGGAACCTCGGCGTCACAATCGACAGCCAACTCTCCCTGACTCCCAACATTACTGCGACAACACGATCCTGTAGATACACTCTCTACAACATCAGGAGAATACGTCCTCTTCTCACTCAGAAGGCTGCCCAGGTACTGATTCAGGCTCTTGTCATCTCACGCCTGGACTACTGCAACTCCCTCCTGGCAGGTCTCCCTGCTACCGCCATTCAACCTCTGCAGCCCATCCAGAATGCAGCAGCTCGACTGGTCTTTAACCTTCCGAAATTCTCCCACACTACTCCACTCCTCCGCTCTCTTCACTGGCTATCGGTGGCTGCCCGCATCCAGTTCAAAACATTGGTGCTCACCTACCATGCTGTGAATGGATCGGGTCCAGCTTACATCCAGGACATGGTGAAACCCTACATCCCGACCCGCACTCTCCGCTCTGCATCTGCAAAACTGCTTGTCCCTCCCTCACTGAGAGCAAAACACTCAACTAGATCACGACTCTTTGCTGTCCTTGCTCCGAAATGGTGGAACGAGCTCTCTGAAGGAACCAGGACCGCAGAGAGCCTTCACATCTTCCGCCGCAAACTAAAGACACACCTCTTCAGACTCTACCTCGACTAAAAGACTAACAAATTGTAGCACTTAAATTGTGTGCTATTGGCTTATTTGAGGAAATTGCACTTTCTTGTTTCTTGTTCTTCTGAGTTTGTACCCTATGGTTGAATGCACTTATTGTAAGTCGCTTTGGATAAAAGCGTCAGCTAAATGACATGTAATGTAATGTATCAATCAATAAATCAATCAGCCCTCGTTTGTATGGCATTTTGTGCAATAATCTATTTTTTAATTGGTAAAATATTTCTATAGTGGCACAAATAACTCAATGATGTGTATTGACAATTACTACACAGATGTAGTTTTTAACATTGTGGACATTAAATGATTGATTAATTAATGAGTGATTAATCCAAAAACGTAGAATTCTTATTTCTGGCCCTACTACCTAATGGGTATCGCCTGCCTGTATCTGGAATCCCAACAAAGTCAACGGCAACACAGGGTGTTCCAGCAGGATAAAGCTCATATCATCTCAAAGCAAAAGTTAGATGTATACATATCCTGGAAACAAGAATCATGCAGGGAAACTAACATTACCCCCCCCTCCCCCTCCACAATACTCAAGCCAACACAAAAAGCTCCTTCCCTACAGGACAGTGTGGGGGGGGGGGGGGGGTTACGCTTAGAGGGTGATGGGGTGCAGAGATTATTGAGGGGTGACCTGTTTAAAATGGGCTAAAAGTCATTAAAGGAAAGTCAGTAGTAGTAGTAGTAGTTTTTTTAATTAAAATTTAAATGAAGCAACTTTAAATAAAATAAACAATTATAAAAAACAATATCTTTCGTTATATTATTATATTATAGTCCGTTAAATAATCTTACATTGGAGTAGGAGCATACATACGAATTAAGAACATTATTATTTTTCTGATAAATATCAATACAATATTGTGAATATATATAGAACAAAAGTCCTCCAGTTAGTGGATAACAATTAATATTAAGTTAATTTAAGTACAAGAATGAGTTGTTTGCTACAGTGGCAGAGAAGAGAAATAAATAAACCCTCACTCTGCTTTCAAGTAATGTTAGGTCAGGAGTTGGCACCCTTGACTATCAACAGCAGGCACCTTGGGTTCGCCGTGTGGAATTTGTGTGCAATCATGAGAGTGTATTTTGGCTGAGTCCCTGCAGCCACTCCAGCACAGTGTCCAGTTCTCCAACAGCCTTCTTTGCAGCTTGGTTCATGTCCAGCTGCTCGATGCCAAGAAACGACAGAGAGAACAATGGATTTAATGATGAGCATAACTGAATGCAAGTTTCATTCTTAACAGATTTTAAAACTATTTTGAATTTGTGCACTTTGTAGCATTTTTAGTAACACACAGAACTAAATATTCATATTGATAGGATTTTTATTTGTTTGCTGGCTTTATTTTTGTTTCATCATCACTGCTGTGTGAAGGTCTGTGTACCATGAGATGCTTTTCATTCCCACCTTGTTGAACTCAGCAATCACAGAGTCAATCTTTCTCTGTGTGTCCTCTTCACAGTTGCAGTGCTGCACAGAACATAGAATCATCAATAAAACGTATCTATATTTTCAATTGAAGCGCCTTTTCTTTTTATTGGACAGAGTAATTCAACGTACACATTCACGTATGTCTCTTCGGATGCTGAAAAAAGCGTTGGCCAGAGCGCTGGAGCAGCGTTGATGCTGCGGCTGAGAAGAGGCGTAGTTGCTGAACACCCTCTCGATGTAGAAACGTAGCACAAGACGCACAAAACAGCACGTCTGACCATCCTGATGGAGACACTGTAAGGTCAGATTCAAGCACACATTCTCATTCACTGTATTCCATCGGGAGAAAGACCCACCTGAATGTTCGTCATCAATGATTTGTCCAGAAGTTTGACTCCGATATCAGTGTCACTCTCTATCTGTAATGCAAAGACCAGGAAAGAGAAGTGAGAATGTGTCCTCACGTACAGAGGTCACAACCAACCTTCCCCGATCCTTTTCTTCAGTAAAGCTTTCCTGTGTTCAGGCTGCTGGATTTGTTGATTTCTATTATTTATTTGGTGTCAAACTTAAAACTCACCACATCTAATCGTATGTCATTGTAATATTGGCGCAGTTCATGTATGTGAACATTGACAGAACAGCTGGCTAAGCTCAGGGTTCGGCTCTCCGCGAGAGGACTCAGACTGGTGAGCAGGAGGAGCAGCATCTTCATCATCATGGTGGTCTAGTTGGAGAGCTAACAGAAACATTGACTTTGTTAAAATATCGCCAGATAAATCACTGAGAATTGTATCTAGCAACAGATCCTATGGATTACTGCAATGATTATGCTTTTAAGGTATGGTAAGTTTATCAACAAAGCAATATATTTATGATCAATTTAGTCAATTAAACATAAAAGAAAATAGCCAAATGCCCATCACAATTTCTAGGTGATGTATTTGTAATTCTTTTTTTATCTTGTCTTGCTGCTCAATTTATAATCCAAAAATTGCAAAGGAAAAAATAGAAAAACGCATCTAATTTCAGAAGCTGCAGTCCACAAAAGTTTACAAAAGTCTACAAAATGTTTCCCCAATAAACAAGTTATCTACTGATTAATAAAAGTTTTAATTAAAGTTGATAAGATGACATTCCAGTGGTTCAATATAGCATATAGGTAACTGTTTATTTTAAACATTTGACATAGACTCAAACATGACATGATGGCATATAATCCATCATCCTACTGTATTTTCTTAATGTAAGTCTCACCTTTGTGTGTGCTATTCAGATGAAGAGTCTTGGGAGAAATGTGCCTGTGTATCTCCATCCTGCCTGCTCTTATAGTGGAGTAAGGGGGAATTTACCACACATACGCACTCATGCTTGTGTACTAGCACACTAATTGCTTTACAGGAGGAGGAAACGTGCTGAATAGAAGAAGAGAAGGACATATTTTCTCATCCTGTGTGGTGTGTTCATTGCAGAGAAAATGCTTTGCCTACAGTGGTGTCATTTGTGACATCACTCCTGTCAGACAAGTCCTGATCGGAAACACCTACCGGACCTGCTCACCTGGCCAGGTTAACTCTTATTGACAACGGTGTTGAGAAAAAGCAAGCAGGGAAGTACGATGAAAAACAGGAATTACCTCAGTTAATGTAAAAGAATAAAGAGAAGGGAGAGAAATTCCAGATTCCACACTCGGAGGTGATAAAAGTAGTCACCAGAATTTCCAAGCTGGGAAATGCATTGTGATTGTTTGTAAAACCACTAGATGTCACCACAAAGCATTTGGAACATGGAAACTTTTAAAATGATTCAATTCACAATTCTGCTCACCCGATACGATCCCGTCAGCAGTTGGTCTCTTGAACCAAGTCTGTGTCCCCCAGTGACCCAAATCCTTCATGTGTGGCAATAAATGGCTTCTGGTTCAGATACAATTTTACTACATTCATACAAATTATTATTATTACATATTATATAATATAATATAATATATTATATTATTAATATATTATATTATATTTCTTCTGAGATTGAGTCCCAGCCAAACTGTCTTAAAACAAACACAAAAAAGCGGCAAGTCAGCAGTGGACAAGGTAACATCTTACAGTGTTATACACCCCTTAAGATGCTTGCAGTTGGTATCAGTTGAAACAAAGATTTTTAAAACTTTCTTTTTAGAACTTTTTGTATTGAATACAAATATATCTCATAGTTTTCCAACATCAGTGGTCTGTTTATTTTTTTTAAATTCATGTTTACTGTCATGGACAACTTGTGAAAATACATAGTGTTCAAAAACTCCAGAGGATACTTCAAAAATAAAATGGACAAAATCTAAAATAATCAAGTGCAATCAAATGATGAAAGAAAAAGGTTTTATTTTTCGTTATTTGTACAAAGCTTCCTTATACAGAAGAATAATATACAGAGGAATAAGAATACAAATAATACAATGACATTTTTACACAAAGTACCTTGAAAATCACAGGCACATTTGGGACAGTCTCAACTACATGGTAGTTATGTTTTAAAATGGTTCTTCTGACATCCACTGCAGCTCTGTTGTCCTTTGTGGCAACTCGGTCACATCTGCTATTGAACATAACTACCCTCGACACGTGTGTAGCACTTCTGTCAATGTACCTGCATTTTCAGGCGTTACTCATTCCAGGTGTTTTTTGGCATTGTATTACTATAAACAAAAAATGACTGAAATGTAAAATCTGTCAACAATGTGAGTTGATTTATTAAAGCTGCACAGTTTTGTTTAACCTTTATTTGTCCCTCTATCAATAATGCAGTTGCAAGTTGCAAGCTTTGACTTTCCTTTTGCACACATGTGTGTGTGTGTGTATCCTGTAAGTGTGTTGTTGTGTGCGTGCATGCATGCGTTCATAACCTCGGGCCTTTAGGCAGGGAGTTCCTAAATGACGATAGAGTGGAGTTGTTTGAAGCACATGATGACATCCAAAGGGATGGGGGGGCTCAGCTGATTTCCGTCCAAACGCAGGTACCTGACGCAGCAGAATAGTTGCTTAACATGTCAATACTAATGACAACTTATTTTGAACAAACAATGGAATCCTGGGTGTCAATGTGTTGGTATTGTTGAGTGCCAAGTTGTGACATACTGTGACGTACCTTAGACTGGGCACCAGACTCAGATCGCTTGGGTCGGCCTGCAGGCTGTAAGGACAGATCTGGGTGCCATTGATGCCTGCCAGGAAAACACACAGTTATTAATGTCAAGTCCGGAAATGGTGCTCACGCAAATAATTGAAGAGTGTTTGTTTGTTTTGCAATTTTCAAAACTGAGCAAGCAAAGAAATGTGGTCATGTAGAATAGCAGTGATAAACAAATGAGGATAAATAACTTACAGAACAGACAACAAGGAGAAATTAATAAAGCACAATTTCATTAAGAAACACCTTAATATGTGAAGGATCATTTAAAAACGTATTAGTGACTCTGCATCTGTAGCATCGCTTTGTGGCCCTGCCAGTCTATAACAGGCTGGACAAAGGCAGTTTTCTGACTCCAATAGGAATGTGACTCATTAAAAGCAACTCAAAAAGTGACAATGTTTGCCAATAATTTTGCTTGAATTTGATGTTCAGAGCTTGTCATGTGTTCATTGTGTTTCTTTAATAATATGTTACGGTACTTGTTTTAAAGATCTTGTAGTCCACAGACTCATTGAAACATATAATAAAGATGTTGAATCTCAAAACTTCACACCTATTTTATATTTTTGAATGTGAATGATTTTAAAATAAGATGAGATCATCCTTTATCAATCCAGAAGCAATGCGTATTTATCTTTGAATTGGCAGTGACTTAATTGAAATTAAATTTTGACTCAACCTAAAGAATTTTGCACACAATTAATCTTAGAAGTTGAAAAGCAGCCTCACATTAAAAGTCCCGATATTTAAACTAATGTTCTTCCAATAGGGGATATGTTCGACCTCCTGAGACAGCCTCATTTCTTCACACACCGCATACCCTCCATCACATAAACATTGACATACCTCACGAATTCATGAAGATTCTCTATACGGGACTCTGAGCCTCATTTTAGTAGCAAATTTTTGAGAAAGAAGGAACTTGCATGCATTTCCTCTGAAGAGAACTGTGTGGAGGCAATAGATATGATCTGAATATCGTATTGTATAACTTCAAAATGGTTGCATGCCGACACTACTTACTTTCAATGGAGTTGTGGTTTAGGTGCAGGTGCTCCAGGCGACCGTTGAAGAGAGGAATAGAAGTAATCTGGTTGTGGGACAGTTGCAGGTCCAGCAGGGTGGTTATGTTGAACACATATTTAGGAAGTCCTTTATCACTCAGCTGGTTGTAGTTCAGCCTCACAAACGCCAGGTGGTGCAAGCCTCTGAAGTAGTCTCTGAACCATGATGGAAAAAACAAGTGAAAACATTTGATCCAACCAGTGCTTTATAATGACTGCAGTGCATGTATTCATGTGTCTTCATCAGTTATGTGACAACGTGAGCACTGTGTACTTGCTTTGGGACGTCATCTATGCGGTTCTTGTCCAGATACAGCTGTATGAGGTTATTGGGTAGGCCAGCAGGCATCTTTTTCAGGACGTTGTGAGCCAGGTTGAGTTGCATGAGGCTCTTTAAGTCCTTAAACGTGTTTTTTTCCAGATCACTGTCACTCAGCTGAAAGAAAAGTCATCATACATTGATATTAGATATTATATTTATCAGGAATGCTGAGTCTGCTTATACCTAAACTGCAGATTAAATGGTCACTAAGGGGTTACTTTACTTGGTTGGGGGTTTACCTGGTTGTGGTACAGGTCGAGAAGCGTCAGGTTACCCATCTTGTTGAAGGCGCCAGCAGGGACCTTAGAAATACTATTTCTACCTAGGCGGAGTTGTTCTAGGCTTGCTGGGAGACCAGAAGGGACCTCTTTCAGGTGGTTACGCTGCACATAGAGGTATAGCAGAGATGGGATCTTTTCAAACACCTTTACAAGAGATAGATGCAGAGAACAGATCTTTAGACAGTTTTATGTATTCAACTGATTAATATTCATTAAGGAAACTTCATGACCTTTTTGTCTATTTGATGAATGCGGTTATTTGCCAAATTAATCCAACGGATCTCAGTGGCGTTGACGAACGATTCTGCCGTCACTTCTGAGATGTAGTTGTTCTGCAGGTACAAGTAGTGTGTTCTAGATGGGATGACAGGGATTGCACGTATGTTGTGGTTCTCACAGTTGAGAGCATTGGGATGGCTCGGGTTGCATGTACACTCTCGGGGGCAGTCAGGAAACACAGAAGGTGGGCCCAGGATGGGAGGGGGGAAGTCTGTCGGCTCCTGGGGCTCTGGCTGAGCGGAAACAGCAGGCTGGGGGACAGAAGGCTTCCCGACTGCTGCTGGGCGCCTGATGGGCTTCTTTTGCCGAGATCTCTGTGTGAACACTCCCCCCATCAATAGGAGCAGAACCAATGCAGAGAAGAGTCCCACGCCGGCCTTCATTGTCCTATGACAGAGCATGAAACGGAGGTAGATGATTTAACCGTATCAACAGTTACATGGATGAAGAGACAGATAGAAGCCTCCCAACAACACACCGTCTGTACTTTGATTCTGCTTGTAAGCTAATGAAGTCAAATCAAAAAACTTAATTTTTTTACTGGCAGTAAAAATATTCCAAAATCCAATTCCAAGTTGTTTTGAGAAAACATTTTTCGGGTTTGAGCTGGCCAAGTAATATCTGGACAAACAGCCTGACTTTTGATTAAATATTGCTACCTAATGTTGCTCTTATCAAACAGGAAATGTTGCTATGCAGAACTTCAGTGTCCTGTTGACCTGGACATATTTAGAATATGAACACTAAAGAGTTGCCTGGTTTAAGTTTTTATACACTCTTTGAAGTCCTGACTGAGGAAAGTATGTATATTGATACCTTGAATCGAATAGTCATTGCCATAGTGTCAAAGTGACATGAAGTAATATTTAATTCCAGCTTGTACAAATGTTAAGATAAAGGTGGGTTACGGATACAACTGCATGAGAGTGAGAAGGAAAACAAGTTGTTTTGTTTATTCAAATCCAAAGGGGGGGGGGGGGGGGGGGGGGGGGGGGATTTGGTCCCGGAAATTAAAAATTTTGGGGGGGAGGAAAGGAAAGGAAATTTTTTGGGAAAAAAAACCTTTTGGGCAAACGGGGCCAAAAGAAAAAATTTGGAAAAACCGGCGGGCTGGGAAAATAGAGCCTTTTTGCCCCGGGAAAACCCCAAAAAAAAAAAAACCCCAAGAAAACCCCGGGGAAACAAAAAAAAATTTTAAACCATTGCGAAGGCAAGGTCTTGCAAGCAAATGTAAAGCCACGAATATGTTTAGGCTCCAACTGACATGTATTTGAATGGTATCTGAATGAGGCTGAGAGAAACAAGTTCTGCCTGGAAAAATCCATCAGAATTTTTGTCTGACGCTGATCTCTGGCACTGCCGTTCCTTTTCCATCTCAGCCACCCAGAGCCTCCCAGGCCCTGGTTCGAAACTGGAAGCAGTTCTCCTTCCCCTCTTGCTGCTGAAGTCATAACAAGAAGTCTGGCAACCAACTACAGAGGCAAAGTTATGGATAGCTGACTCTGATTGGTCTGTTATTTCAGACCTGATTAGGCAGATATGATCAGTATGAGAACGACACAGTGGGTCCGAGATCATCACAAAGATTCACATTACAAATGACTGTAATTAACTTATCAGTAACAATTATTGACTACTTCATTTGTACTTTAAACCCCACAACATATGGTTACATTCGATTGGATCCTTCTTTAAAAACCCACGCAATTCAGCAGTTGTCCTGAAGCGTTTGGTTTGTCAAAGAGTGATTAGCAAAAATGTGATTTGATCGAAAGCTCCACAACAGCTGCTAAATGGGAGGGATTTCTTTCAACTACTTACGTAAAAGTTCTCTTGAGATGTCAACATATTTCAGGACTTTTTAAAAACAACAACATAGGCCTCTTTCAACTTGGGTGTCTGTTGTCTGTGGTGAGCCCTTTTCAATGTATTTATTCCTTTTGCTGTTACATGCACCTTTAATGCTTTGAACTGAAAATGATCAGCACTAGTGCTGTTCTTACAAAACAGTACTGTTTTGTAAGAACAGCCACGTCACGCACATCGGAATCCAGCGATCTAAACTCTAAGATTAGAATTCCAATTCTCACAAAAATCTCCAAATAACATAAACAACACAATGCCCACATAAAAACAGCATATTCTGATTGTCAACAAATCATCCTCTGTAAAACTTACTTTATTTAAAGGCAGTTAAGTCCACCATAACTTATAAATATGGTCTTAATGTTAGAAATGCTTTGTAAACATGCCCTGGAAAAGTGATAATTACTAAAGTATTTGTCCTCCTTATGAAACCCTCATTAGACTGCCAAAACATTTCCTCGTGCGGGTGGAGCGGTGATGGGGTTAGAAGCTACAATGACAATAACAACAGATTAATATGTTTATAAGCCAATTCAAATAAAATTACACTAATTTTAAACTAATAAATTGAGAGTAAAAAGACTCACTTCCCACTTGAATCTGTTCTCCTGTATGACTGGATGCAGTCATTACTGCATCGGCCAGTTTCACCTAAATCAACAGCTCTTTTACTTTTACAATATTCACACTTTTTTTGTAAGTTCTCCCATTACAGTGATGAAGAAAAAGAAAAGGTTCCATTTAGTTTTCTCCATTGTTTAACCACAATCCTGAACTACACTCAGTAGAAACATGAATTATTCTAACAACAAAAACAAATCATTTTGAAACCACTCAAGGATCCACTTGACAAAAAAAAAGATTCTTGGCTATCAGCCAGAAACAGCAACTTTTCAGGAGTAAACAAATGCACAGAGGCGGTTCTGGCTCTGCTTCACACACCACCCCAATCCTGCCGGGATTCTTATCTTATTGATTATGATCCATCTGAAACAGTCCGTCTTGGAAACAGCAAATAAAGTTTCTTACCTGCCTCAGGTACCTGCCCTCTTTTGTCAACTCAAGAGTTTTGTGTCTTTTCTTCTTTGCCTCTCACATTCTTTTCCTTCCCCTCCCTCTTGCTCTGTTTCCCTCGGCCCTAACCCCCTTTCCCCCCCCTCCGTCTCTCCTCTCTCTCCCTCTCTTTCCTTTAGTGGACGAGCCTCCCTGCTGCCTTTTTTTCCTTGCTTTTTTCCCTTGGAAGGTCACAGTGGTTCTTTCTCCCCTTCCGCACGGCTCAGAGCTTTCATGTGTCTGAACTGTGTAAAAGTGTGTTATCATCTTCTTCTTTTGCAGCATGTATTGTTTTTCTCAAACAGACATAGGTACTTGAGCATGCTTGCATATTCATGTGTATGCACAAGCATCGGTTTCTATATCAGATGTCTTGGGAAATGCTGTGAACCTCTATAAGGGAAGTCCAATTGTTACATGTCTCCTCAAACCAACCCTTCTATTGTTTTAGATGACTTCCCTTTTACCCAGTCATGTGCTTTTTATTAGCAGCATCCCTCCACGGATTCGCCCGCGTGCATTATCTAGGAGTGGCTTTCCTCTATTCCAGCGTCAGTAAACACAGAAAGTTAATGAGGTACAGCCAAAGCATGGGAGTTTAGGAGGGTCTTTCAGTAAGTGGGTCTGTGTGATTAACAAAGTGTAGAGCCTGTGTGTGTGTGTTTATGGGTCACCTGGGGTTACCAGGTGGACATGTGTTTGGTGCATTCCTGGTTCGTGAGCTGCAGCCGAAGGATAATGATGGGAACATATGTGAGAAACAGTTTCAAACTCACATTAACACGCATGTGCCTCCGACTCCCATTTTTCCTTGTTTTTTTTGTTTGTCCAAAAAGCATTTTTTTCTCCTCTTCACTCAGTCACCATGTTTGGTTTCTTGTCCTCAGCTGGTCCAAACATCTGGATGAATTCTGGTCCCAACAAGGAAAGAAGGGTTACGTCAACAAATACTGTAGGACACAGAGAGAGAGGGGGTTGATAACAAATACGTCACCTCTTGGGTTGTTGCTTTCTCATCTTCTCCACTACCTTATACGACACAGTGCTAGAATTTAATGACTCAGCGCCTCTGATCAACTACACTGACCTTCTTTCTCTGTACAAGTTTTCATTTTGCGCTGCCTGTTGCAAATACATCATTGGAAGTAACTTCTAATTAACAGCATCACTTGTGGTTTCATATTGTTGAATAAGTTACATTCATAATACACTTTATTGAAATGCATTTTTACAACAAAAAGTATAAGATTTAATAAAGTGTATTCTTAAACAAAGAGATGATCTCAGATGTTGTCTGCACAATTGATTGCTTTCAATCTCATATGTGGCATTGGGCTGACATCAAATGTGACAGGTCTCAATCCACAGGTGGCAGTACATAAATGAGACGCTCCTTTTAATACAAACAAAACAAGCTTACCACCAGGAACACAAACAACAAGGGAAGCCACACAATGCTTGTCTGTACCATATTAGTGAGACACAGAGACCCCAACAATTACTTGTGCTGCTATTTCATTGAACGGACAGTACAATGAGGACATGCCGATGGCCATTTACTCCCATTTCCCAGTGCAGCAGAAGGTGGACACGTTGTAAAAAGATACGGGCGAGTCAAACCCAAATAAAGCAAGTTACTCATGCAAGTATGTTTTCTTCAGCTCTCACACCTCCACCTAGCTGTTTAAAGAGAGAAGAGAAAGTTGCAAAGTAAGAAACCAAAGCTTTTGTTGTCAAAGCAAAATAGATTCATTTTTGGATAAATTGAGGTACAAGGATTATTTCAATCCAGCCATGTTATCAATGACTGGCTCAATTTAACTGAAAAATCTTCTGAAAAAATGCTAAACGTTGCCTGAGCTGCACCGATTTTCAAGCAGAAAATAGGCCTTGTCCATTGAGAGGAAGCCCCGTAGGAGGATAGACGTGTTTGCTCAATGAGTTTCATCTGTTTTTTCATTTTCGAACCTCTCAGATATCTGTCTGCAATAAAAAAAAAAAATCTACTTGAATCTTCCAACTGATTATTTCTACTTACATTCACCAAAATGTTCTCTCTCAGCCACGATGGCATCTTTAAAGAACACGTGTCATGTTTTCTGCCTGACGTTGAGGTCTAGAACGCTGTGTTGACTACATTGTTGACTACTTTACATTTATTGGCCATCCAAGGAATGCATTTTTATTAATTGTGTTTTACTATTGTATTCACTCCCGTTTGAAGATAATATTGTGTGGTTTGGTTTTGCATGTGTGAAGATGCACATGAGATGTGGAGAGGAACTGCAGCGTTTAAAGAAGCTGACGGGTGGTGGTTGGATGTTAGTTCAGTTTTTCAGGCCTCACTTCAACCTGTTGATTCAAGAGAGATATTTATGGAGCAGACACTCTTTCAGCTTCAGTCCTCACTGCTATTATATACTGCAGCAGATGTTTCCCAAACTCATGGAGAGAACAATGCAGGCTTTGGCTCCAGCCCAAAGTGACTTTGTATTTATAATAACATGAGAACGTTCCGTGAATGGCCTGTTCTGTCATCTACCAAGAAAACTGCATGATTGAACTGTTTGGTTTAAAGGAGATTCTCCCCAACATTTTCTCACCAACTTTCTAATGTGTAGCACTCCCCCATCAAGAGGATACGGCCTCCACTGTGTATACACGCCAAACTATGTGGGCCCCACCCAATTTCTCCTCTCCAAAGTAAAGCCAAAATCTTGGCCTATGATTTAGGGCAATCCTTTCAAATCTTCATGTTTGCTCTTGAAGAGTTTCATGCAAAAGTGTCGTGTCATATAAATCCCTTTATTATTTCACAAATTGGACTTTGGTCTTAGAGCTGAGTGAGATGGTGGATGTGAAATATATTATTATTAACAGCCTAAATGTTCAGCACAAGAAGATACAAACTCAGCACACTTATATTCTCCCCTCCTCAACTCATCTACTCCCGACAAATACACCTCTACTCCACCAGAACCTGAGAATAGGATACGTGCATGCCACACATTGTTAAAATTAGTTAAAATGTTTGTGTCAATCAAACAAATGCTTGTGAATTATAAACTGTCACTTCTTATATATATTCCAAGTGTGTCCATCATGTCAATGAAATTGAAGTGACTGCGGGTCCTAGAGACTGCTAACGAGACTGAGAAGCATTACGTCATGGATACTAAACATTTTCAAATCAAAGCTCATCCGTCAGGCACTAAACCAAACATTCGAGCTTCAGCTTAAACAGAAACTGATGCGCTTCCGTTTGGTGAGTGAGAGAAGTGACTTTTGCTAAATACATGAAATAATTCTTTCTTTTTGGGATGGGATTCAAACATTGATTAAAAGCTGTAATCAAGGGTCCCTTTTTCTGTTTCTCTCTCTGGACTAATTTAATACTGTGTGAGTGCATGTTAGTTACTGATGGGCAGGTGGCATTGTGTGTGGTAGCTCCTGTAAGTGTGTGTGACATAATTCAGGCTTTGTTGTAGTTTTTGCAAGACCTGTTGAAAGTGCTTTTTGGGCCGCAGGGTTTTAATTTGCTGCAATAACACCAGAGGCCGCAAGAAAAAGCTCAGCATCGGCGCCATATCAAGGTCACACACCCATGGCTTTACTTAGGGACCTGGTACGAGTAGAGACATTTACCCAGATGGACTCTTTTAGATAAAAAGGAAACACAAGCTTACCTTGCCCATATGCCTGATGGTATGATATATGGTGGTGGTGCAGTCCAGCACTATGTGTGTGTGTTTGCAAGTACCCATATTGCGTTGGATAAGCTGCATGTGTTTCAAATATACTCGGTGCTCAGTTAAATATGGAATGTGCTACTGACTCCAGCTGAGCTGTCCTCTCCCACGCAACACACATTGTCCACACATACGCATTAAATGTGGACACTGAACCCCTTATCTCCCACCTCTTACCACACTGAGGAGACCACCTATTAAGAGGGGTTCTTAATGAGTGATGCACAAGCACTGTGGACAAACCTCAGGAAATAGCGTCATACATTCTTCAGCATATGACATAATGGAGGTTACAAACAAACCCGACCACGTGTTTCCCTTAAGGGTTATTTATCTTCCTTAGTGTTTAAAATGTTCCATTAAAATTAATTAAGAGTAAAAGCTGGTTTGTGGAAAAAGGTTTATTGCTCATTTATTTGGCTAAAGCCACGTCTCTTAAGATTGGACAATTACGTGAAGATTATGTGTCCCCTGCTGAATTTCTGGCTCAATACTGTAAACTTGTGACCAGAAATACAGGACAGTAGAATCAGCAATCTGTGTGTTTATGTGTGTGTGTGTGTGTGTGTGTGTGTGTGTGTGTGTGTGTGTGTGTGTGTGTGTGTGTGTGTGTGTGTGTGTGTGTCTCATGAGTGGGCTGGAGGTCTTAGACTTGCTTGCAAACAGGCCTGTAAATAAGGCCAAATCATCTAGCCAAACCCACAGATACCATACAAGTCTACGTTAGATTTGTAGATTATTTCTCTTCCCAAAAACCCCTCTCCACACAGCAACAGGTTTCAGGTCATAACTCTCTGTTGGTTCAGCAACCCCTTTTACATTAAATACCAGTTGTAGACATTTCAGAATTAAAAGCAATGTCAGTTCAGTTTTTCAAAATAGAGAATGTGTCACAGGTTTGTTTCCTGTTTTATTTTGTAGTTTTCTGCCTCTTGTGTCCCTGGGTTATCTTCATTTCCTGCCTTGTTCTGTCATCCGCTGTGATGGTCTGCCGTGTCCCAGATTGTTTCCACCTGTGTCGAATCACCTGCACCTCCCCAGTGTATTTAAGCCCTGTGTGTGTTATGTCCCTTGCCGCGTCGTTGTATGTTCTGCGTGAATGTCTTGCCTGTGCCTGTGCCTGTGCCTGGTCAGGGTCAGGGTCAGGGTTAGGGTCCTGCCTCCACCTTCCCCGTTTGTGACATAATGAGTCAAGAGACAATGCAGAACCATCTGGAAACATTATCAGTACTAATACAGACAGTTGTGGATCAAATTAGAATGACATTTAAAATACTTTTTGGTGGTTGGACCATGTGCAGAGGGATGTGATATGTGAGGGGCCCTGAGCTTCTTTACGATGCTGTTATGACACTGCAGGGAGCTTCATTGCAGTTGTGTTAGAGTCAGAGTTTGGTTGTTTTTAAATCCCTGCAAAGATAATCCTCCTGACTATGACGCTTCATTAGAATTAAGTTGTAAACTAACATGAATAATTTACTTTCTTACAATCCAAAATCTATGTAAGAAAAGCTTTATGCGACTTGAAACCAAATTACAAATACTTACAAACAAACAAAGTTAAAGCTGCTTTCTTAAGATGAGATTTTGTTTGTCCATTTTTCTACTTAATTTATATCCTCTTCTCTGACAAAACCAGTGAGCCTATAGTAGCAATTGAAAAAATCTTCAATGCTTTAGTGCTGATTTAGTCAGTTCTTCAGTCCAGTGTGATCTCATGAGTCTTCAAGAACAGGATCCAGCTAAATAAAGGAAAACATAATTTGCCATGAACAGTAGCTAATATGTGTAAACGGGTGGACTTTTCTTGTATTCTGACCACTCAAAATGCTTTAACATTAGATATCATTTACCCCTTCATACACAGGCAGGCTGCCATGGAAGAGGCCACCTGCCCCTCAAGACGATCTTACCATTCAGTTTCTCCTTTTTTAATATGACAATCACCAAGGGAGAACATTCTGGCAAGACAATGATCAGAGTATTAACCAGTTAAAAAAGGATTTTTACGTAGCGCTGATCTCCATAAAGGTCATCAAGTAGAAAGTAATGTGCCTTTTTGATTTCTTGCCGAGAGTTGAATTGATACCACTCTCATAACGGTGCTCTACAGAGAGTTAGCTTAGACTCAAATCTAGGAGAAACATTTAGTCCGGCTGTGTCCAAAGCTACAGCTTCTCTCAAACTCCCTTATTAACAACATGACTCATCATGACTTCATATGTACCCAACAAACAGCCAGCTGGTTGTCATTGCAACACGCTCACATAGACTTTTATGGTGAATCCTCTTCCCTGTAAAGGAGCTGGGCGTTTGTAACTCAGCTATATGAGGGTCCAGAGTGCTAATCAGACCACCATACACACTCACAGCATTTAAATGACATATCACCCGATAAACATTGAGGGCTGTGTCTTTTCAAGACAAAATGCAGGCATGAAAGTACAGAAAAATACAGAAATTATACACACAAAGAGTACGTCCTCTAGGGTTCTTTAATGCTACATGAAGTTAAATGTCAAGCAAACGAAGTGGTTCAAAACAGAAACATCTGCTGCTGGAAGAGGGATCTGTCCTTTCAGTATTTGTTTATTCCAATTTCTGTGAACTTGGCATGAATAGTAACAACGTGGCTATTGTTAGTACTCACAGCTGTCAAGAGAGCAGCTTGTGGATTGTAGATGCAGAATGAGTGCAAGGGAAGTGTGCACACCATCTGGGGTGCTTATTATTTTTGGGAATATACAGTAATGTTTCCAAAAAATACTTCTGCATTTTAGGACAATACTATTTTTGTAAATGGCATCTTCAATTGCTTTGTCAGAACATTTTTATATTCAATGTGAGGATCAGCCTTGGTTTTGGTTAAAGCTACTTAATTTTGCCTTTCAAATGTTTCCTTTTTTGCCTAACAGAGCTCAGTTTAACCAAAGCACATCAGAGAGGGTTTGTCACAGTTCCTATTTGGTAATAAAACACAGATGTTTAACCCTAGTAAGGCAAAACTTGGAAAAGATGGGATGAGAGAGAGAGAGATGGAGACGGAGAAAGAGACAGATGTTTTCATCAAGACTTTTGGTGTTATGATTATAACTCTGATTTAGTGCGGAAATCATGCTTTGGCATCTTTTGAAGGTGGGTTTCCCCTTTAGTGCCTGGGTGTCTTTCTACATATTGACGTAATTCATTCTTAAAGCTGTAGCCGTGAGCTGTTTGACAAGTGAAGTTAACAGAAATCTTCATATTGCATATTGAATATGGCATACTTAAAAAGTGGATCAAATATAAATACTTTCTAGCACTCGCAGGCAAAAGACCCAGTTGGATGGCAGCTGTTGGTAGGATATTTTGTTTCCCTCCAATCGTAAGATCTTCATCCTGGAGTAGGACAGAGGTCCCCAATGTCTGCAGAAACTGTTCACATTGAAATCTGCGGCGATCAAAAGAAAAAAAAAGAGAGAAATTAATAAGATATTCATCGTCAAAAGACACTGATTATTCACTAAAGTGACCATAAGCTTGAAAATCCTATCATACTAACCCAGTCAGGTCAGGTTTGGTTTCACATCATGTACTAGGTGTTCATTACATATTTTTGATAAACTACTAAAATGGAGTGATTCAATACATCACAAACTTTGCCTTACTAAAGTGTGGCTGTACAAATGTCTCTCTCTCTTAGAGTTTTAATTCTAGTTTTAATTCCCTGAAAGTCTCGCAGGTGCTGTGTTGAAAATGTAGCACTCTTTTACTCAGTTCAGCAGAGACTCCCTCGGCCCAGACTGTGGCCTTTGGCAGAGAAGAACTGTGGTAGCAGTTGTGCTACTAGCTAGACGGTGAGGTGTGTGTTATTGTGAAAGTACTTTGCCGTCTGTCTGTCCCGTTGGTACACAGCCTCTTTGTCTGCTGCTTGACAGATCGAGAACATACTTTCGCTTTGCCAGAGCCTATGAGCCAAAATGACACGTCCTATTGGCTACAAAAGGCCAGAGTGATGGGGAAAAGACAGCACAGAAAGAGGAGAGAGAGAAAGAGAGAGAGAGGGAGAGAGAGAGAGAGAAAGAGAGAGAAGAGAGAGAGAGAGAGAGAGGAATCCATGAAGAGGGGAACAGCATGTGCTTCTGGCTCATCTGGCACCCTCACCTCTGAATCAATCACAGATGTTTTCATACCAATCTGCTTGCTTCTCTGCTAACCTACTTTCCCGTCATCCAGCCTCACCTCCACCCTCCACCCTCCTCTCGCTTTTTTTCTTTCCATGTCTCTGATGTTCCTCCCCTCAGTTTTGTACTCTCTCTCGTCCCGTCTCTGACTCGCCTTGCTCTCAGCAGCCCAACCCTAGTCCTGACTCCTTATGCAGTGATGAGTGCCGGCTGTGTTGCAGACTGCTGGGGCTGCCATTGCAGTCACATTTTCCACATTTATTCATCTCGTTCACAATATGGTTAAGGTGTTGACCTCGCCAGGTGGTCAGCCACACAACTCACTTCTACTTTGCTTTCACAATGAGTTTTTAGTTGAATTGTAAACTGGAGGAATGTATGCACACATGTGGGAAAATAGCATTTCATAGACATGAAGTCAGTGACACCGTTACCATCACAGCAGATTGACTTCCTTTGGGTATGTGCATGTTTTCTTTGTCCATGTATGCACCCCACCTTGTATTTCATTGGCCTCCAGGTAGAGGTACTGCAGAGTGGTGGCGACTGTGGGAATAGTTTTAAGTTTGTTATGAGAAAGGTCCAGTTCCACCAAGCTGGTGAAGTTGAAGACTTGCTGGTAGACATTGCTGCTCTGAAGACCACAGTGACTTAGCCGAAGATACTTGAGTTTGAGAAATCCCCTTAAACTGTCTTCATCCAGCCCGATGAGAGTGTTATTGGACATATAGAGCTGCTGGACAGAAGGGGGTAAATTTCTGGGGACAGCCAAGAACAGATTCCCACTTAGGTCCAGCAGGTGCAGACTCAAAAGACCTTGAAGACGAGGGGAAAAAAACACAAACACAAATAAGTAATACTGACGAATGTGTATGACGTGTAGAATGAGTCTTGACATTGGCAATGTTAAATGACAGCAATGTTCAATGTTAATTGGTGCAAACAATATGATCCTTAAACAAAAATTGATTGAAGAGACGGCAAACATTAAAAAAATATCAGGTACAGCTATCATGTCAGAAACAGAAGTAATTAGTGACGCATCAAAATGCGTTATTTTCATTTAAATTTGTGCCCCTTCCATCGGGGAGGAGGCTCAGGTCCATCAGGACTAAGACCTCCCGCCACAGGAACAGTTTCTTCCCGTCGGCAGTCAGACTCATCAACAAAGCCCGGTCCCCCACTGACTGACTATAACATTCCACCGGTCACTCCCCTTCATACTGCACATGTCACTTTAATTGTAAGTTTTCACTTTGTCGTCACTCGTCACTTTGTTACTTGTTCGCTGGTGCACACTCAGATGCCGAGGGTTTTTGGGTTTGTCAACCACACGCCTCTTGAGAGATGCAGGAGTGACCGGAGAGAGGCTAAGGAGGGCAACAAAGGACCTGGCAGAGGAGGCTGAGAAAGGGAGCTTTTGGCTCTGGCTGAGGAGGAAGGACAGGTGTTGGGGGATCAACACCTAACCCCAGACAACAGCTGCAGGTGAGAACAACTTTCAGCTGCAGGGGGTGACAGGGACACGGGGCAATAAAGTCTATCATAAATAAATAAACAATAAATAATAGACGTGACTCTCTAGGTCGTCTTCAACCAAACACACGTTACTCCGCCTTGTTCTGGCGGTGAATTGCTCTGCAACACACGCAAGCCTTTTAGAAGCATGAATTGAAACTGAGTGCAGCGACGCAACGACGCAGAAGCATGCGCCAGCCTTTAAAGGAGCGAAACGTTGGTGAATGGTGGTTTCTGGCTGATGACCCTGCAGCTGACCCATGGGCACCGGAGGAGGTGCGACAGACAGCAACGCCCAGCGGTTGGTAACATCTTCCTGTACATTCACATGTTTGCTGTGAAACATGAAATCAGATCACTGTTGATTTAACAGGCACTCTCCTCCTACCACCCTAATAATGTTGATGTTTGTAGCGAGCAAAACATAGACAAAAATGACAAAAAACCATAATCGTTTATATTTTGTCTGTTCACTGTATTGTATTTTTTTCAGACAACGTGAACAGTTACAGAGTAGAGTACTAGTAGATTCTGCATGTGTAGAGAAAGGAAATTACACATTACTCTACCTTTGAGGTCTCCCTCCACGATGGTTTGCAGTCTGTTTCCCTGCAGCAGCAACAGTGTCAAGTTCTGCAGGTTCTGGAAAGCTCCAGGACTGATGCTGCTAATTTGGTTGTGGGCCAGTCGCAACTCCTTGAGTCCAGCAGGTAGAGTGCTTGGCACCGATCGCAGGTGGTTGTGGTTGGCAAAAAAGTAGTACATCTGGGTCTGTGTCTGCAGCGCGACCAGTTCCTGCAGTTGATTGTGGTCCAGGATGAGCCAGCGTAGAGCAGTAAGTTTGGTCAGAAAAGAGGAAGACAAGGACGAGATGTTGTTGGCCTTGGAAAAAATGGAAAAAATACAGATTTGAAAGTTTCCCCACTTTTATGGTTAGAATTTAACATATCCAGTACAGCATGGTGCAGATCAGCCATTGTGGGAAGTGTATGAACATGGTGGGTAATAGCAAAGACAATACACTCTCAGTGTCCATGTCAGTGTTTGTTCTACCTGAAGAAAAAGGTATTGAGTTCTGTTTGGCAGGCTGTCAGGGATGTCCGCCAGGCCTTTGTGGTCACAGTAGAGCGCCGTGGGCCATTGGATGGGGCAGTCACACTGCTGAGGGCAGGCCTGGGGGTTGTTGGCTCGAAACCAGGCTGCGTCCATCCGTCCCTGCAGACGTCACACTAGGCTCACCAAGAAGACGGCTGATCCGCACAGGGACACCTCCATAGTCTGTGTCCAAGTCGGCTACAACAGTCGCTGAGGCTGAGTCGAAAACACACACCAGCAGCAACACAGCGAGGTACTTGAGAGCCATAGAGACAGCTGGTGACATTTGTTATCCTGCAAATTAAACAGGAAGACAAAGCAATGAATACATGTCGCGTAATTTACGAAACTTGTCACGATGAGCTTGATTTTATAAGCCTGTGAAGGTTATATAATGTCGTTAAGTCGCATTATGAGAATAAGGGTATATTTAGACATATTTCAACTGTTGGCTGGATAGAAATACATTAAAATACATTAACATTTCACTGAGGATTCAATTCATTTTTTTTGTATAGCCCAAAATCGCAAATGACAAATTTGCCTCGGAGGGCTTTACAGTCTGTACACGTACGACATCCTCTGTCCAGAAAGACATCGGCACAGGAAAAACTCCCCAAAAAAAGAAAAACCCTTCCATGGGGAAAAAAGGGAAGAAACCTTAGGGAGAACGTTAGAGGAGGGATCCCTCTGCCGGGATGGACGGACTACAATGGATGTCATGTGTACAGAACGAACAACAGATGATCAGCGTGATGCTATGACTTACTTACAGTGCCAACAGCAAGTCAATGATCTTAAGTATACAGGTGAATATATTAAAATGTACCACACAAATTGTGAAGATATTTCGTACAGATTTCCAGTGATCCAATTTTTTTTAGATAAAAAAATCAATCTTCTCTCTTTCGTAAAATCCTCACTTTCCACTTAAAGACAATATAAAAAATATTTCTGCGTGAGATCAAACATGGTCACTCTGTGTGATGTGAAAAAGAAATATAAATTTGCCAAAGAAAATAGAAATTGAATGGCCCTGATTGAAATGTAGCATGCATTTAGACATCAGATTCTGACCACAGACTTACTTCTGAGTATATGAGTGGGGAGAATCTATTATTTTCTCCTGCATGCTCATCTGCATATGCTTACTATAAAACCCACAATGTTGCTGTCCACACTTGGAAACACACTCAGACTCAGTATGACACCACAGTAAGTGAGAAAGATCTGCATCATCAGGAAGCTTGACAATCAGCATGTGTGCAATGTTGCAGTCTGACAGTACATGCAGAAAAAAGGATTCCAGGAGTTTAGCTGTTACGCAATCGTGCGTCATCAGACCAACTGTATTCAAACAGACACACATTGCAGATTTGGGCTTTTCCAGTTTTGCCTGCCTAGCAGTAGAGAACACATACAAGCAAAAGATGAACCAACAACAGGCTGACACTTACCAGTTTAGCCGGAATGGAGATAACTTCTCTTAAATTTCCAATTGAAACCCTTAGGCGCTTGTGTGTGTGTGCGTTAATGCGTCTGCATGTGCGTGTGTTTCCAAGCTACTGACATTCCTCTTCTTCAAATGCTGCCCACATCCCCCAGACCTCCTCCATAATCGTCCCTACCTCACTCCTTCATTCTCCCTTCTCTCAGCAAAAGCCAACAGTTAGTGGACACACAAAAATGCACAAAAGGATTTTAACATGAACATGAATGAGGAAGGGCATTACTGAATGGACACTGGGTTAGGTTTTGATGGTACAGAGCATTCAGTGAATATCAGCAATCAAGTATGGTGCATGTAAATGTGTGTGTGTGTGTGTGTGTGTGCGTGTGTGTGTGTGTGTGTGTGTGTGTGTGTGTGTGTGTGTGTGTGTGTGTGTGTGTGTTGTGTGTGTGTGTGTGCGTGTGTGTGTGTGTGTGCGTGCGTGTGAGTGTGTTGCTGGGTCGACAGTATGTGTTCTGCCTGGAGGCATTCAAGCCACAAAGTACCTGGGGAGCCAAGGAGACCATTCTCTCTGAGTGTGTGTGTGAGGGAAGGGTTGCGTGTGTGTAACCTTGCGTGTGCCTCTGCATGTGTCCATCTGTATGCCTGTGAGCAGAGCAGAGCAAAGTCAACTAATGGGGAACGCTAACATGTTGATGCAAAGCAGGTTTAATATCAACCATGCCCACCGTCTTAGCTTGTTGGCATTTTAACATATGCAAAACGGTATTAGTGTTAATATCTCTGCCTTTGGATTATGTTGTGTGCAGGCCTCTTTTTGTCTGTTTATCTGTGATGGTTAATCTTGTAGAGTCCTGATGTGTGTTTGGCTAACAGAGGTAACAGCCAACAGAGCAAGACAGAGTTGTCCAGAGATGAGAGCAGTTTTACTTGATACAATGAATATAAGGCATATTTGACATTGCAACATTGCAGACATGCTATTTGATTTCGGACCATAGTTCCCAAAATCAACTTCACGGTTTATCCCAAAAGAGTAAAGCAAGTCCATACACTTATGTTTGCAATGTTTAATCTTTGAAGTAATTAATCAAGTGTGAGTATGGTCATTTTCTTACCAACTTCTACACAATTAGACATCTTTAGGAAACCAAAAAATGCAATTTAACAGTCACTCGTATTGGTTTCCTTCTTCACACTCGCAGGGCCGTCTGATCACCTTCCCAAAAGTCTAGTGTCTTGACTTATTGTGGCACAAGTTATTGGAATAGTTAACCAGTTACCGCACATCAAAATTGTAGGAAATCCTGATTCAATTATTATTTGATAATAGCTTACTTGCAGTGGATCAATAAATCAGTGTTGGTAATGTAAAAAGTTTTGTTCTTATTTGAGGCAAATTCATTGACCAATTCTAAGACTTATTAATTAAAGCTGACTGTGAAACGAATAAGGAAGAAATGTAATGTTACGTTTTTTCATGATTAATATGAAGTACAGGATATGGAAGCAGGAAAACCACTTGTTACTGTTCATATGAGCGCTTTTCTTTTCAGAACTGTCTATCTGGTTGAGTGAAGGTTTCTGGAAACTAAAGTGAGAGCTGCTACACAGGTTGTTAACGGCAGCTTCTCACCAGCCAGCACGCACTCTGCCTCTGTCTGATTTTCTCAGAAGGAAATGCAAAAGACGTCCGTCCATCCTCTGCTGGCTTCGATCCCTCTGCTCAAGGATAACACTGAAACATTTCAGGCCTTGCCCATAATTATTTACTGCACTCACACATCCCGTCAGCACTAACTGGAATCAATGTTTATGCTTCCTGAATATTTCCAGGTGATTATAAAAAAGCGATTTGCTTTGGTGTCACATTTTAATTGTAATTATTGACAGTTAATACAATTTCCTGCCACGTATGTTGGATAGGCTCCAACTTCCCAAATCCATAGAGAATAGGTGGGTAAAGAAAGGGAGCAGATAGCATGATAAATAGAAACATTTCTTTGACGTTGACTTTGACGAGCTGTAACCATTGTATTAATACAGTGCGGAGCAGTGGTCCAGTTAAATGCACAAACATCACTATAAATTCGATTTAAAATGTTCCTGCCTCATCTGTGTCTCTGTGATTAACCTCCGTATTTTATGTCTAAAATATATGATCGTGGAGGCTACATACCGTAAGATTGAGGACATTATTAGTGCTTAACCTCATAGTATATGAGGTTCATGATACAGTGATCAATGCAATGTGAACAGTGGACCACATTCTCGTCAAAAGGCAGTGACATAGTGACACACACATGAAAAGTAGAGTGGAAAGTTGACTTTGAACAGTATGAAGTAGAAGATTTGTTTGACAGGAGCAGCTACACTTACCACATATGATGCAACACATATGGTGCAACACACATCACACAGCCAACTGATGTGACGTCAATTGAGGTGTAATTGCTGAAAAAATGATCAAACCATACAGTGCATAACTGTTTGTGTAATTAAAATTTGTTAATGATTTGTGGTGAATGAGTCATCATCTTCTGACATAATGTTTTCCAAAGCTGTAATTGCTTTTAGGTGGTTTCCTGCTTGAGGATATGCCGAACATGCCTGCTCTTCAACTGTTGAGAGGAATCTGTAAGGACACGCCTAGAGCTGATCCCTGAAAGCCACAAACATTCTAATGATTAATGTGCGTCATGTTTTCACCTGCATAGTGTAAGTGAAAACCATGATTTGTTCTTGTCACGGTTTGGGTTTGTTTCCTGTTTTATTTTGTAGTTTTCTGCCTCTTGTGTGCCTGGGTAACTTCACTTCCTACCTTGTCCTGTCCTGTCCTGTCTCTTGTCTCTGGTCGCGTCATTGTTGGACGTAATTGTTGAATGTGGGAGGTTGTGTCTTGTTCCTGGTCCTTGTCTGCGTTTTTGCCCTTGGCATTTTTGAGTTAGATTTTGGATCTGGTGACTATTAAAGTCTTTTTGTTTGAAAATCTCCTTTTGAGTCCTATCTCCACCGTCTACACCCGAACCCCAAACCAAAGAACCGATTTGAAACTAGGCTCTGGCTCCGAACTAGCACCAGTTCTGCCTTGGTGGAAAAGGGGCAACAACGGTTCTTTGGTTTTCCACCACCAAAGCACCAGCTCCGAACCAGTAAAAGTGGTTCTTAAGTAGCATCATATCATTGCTGGTCTAGAAGTAAGAACCGCTTACGTCAGCGGCTGGGGGCGGGGTTACCGTGACCAACGAAACGAGAGAAACTTTGTGATCCGCCATTTTTCGATAGCAGCTAGTCGAGCTAACAACACAAGCGCGAGCCGCGCGAACATGTTTGATCCGCCGTGTTCGGATGTTGATGTAGGTCCGCAAAGCCATGAACCGCAATAGAAAAGCAACGTCCGCCATTGTTGATGATGTGTTTGTGTTTGGCGCCGCCGCGCTAACGTTGTTGGGAAAGATGAGACGTAACTGTGACGTAGGACATGGCTCTGCGCTGGCTCTTTAGCCTCTGGAAAAGCAAACCGGTTCTTTGGAGGCTCGTCAGTTGAACCAACTCCGAACTGGCTCTAGCTGTGGGTCCGAACCAGCACCTGGTTCTTGTTGGTGGAAAAGGGGTAGTTGAGGCTTGTTGAGTAAAAGCTGACATGAAACATAAGTAATAATTATAAGGGGAAAACGTGCAGTGTCCTTACTAAGCCAGAATAGAAGAGTGCGAGTGTGAACAAGAAAACGTACCTGGGTAACTTTACGTTAAGTTTTATCTTAACCTTGGAAACAACCCTTGAGAAAACAGTCTAACGCTTAGTTCCATTTATTAGCTGTTGTGATTTATTCAAATCTCATCAGCAGATGAAGAGTTTGCCTAGTCAGATTATTTCCATTTCAGAGCACATTAACCTTGATATAACAATTATTTGTCATTGGTCCCACTGTGCTGTACAATACTTAAATCAAATGTTTATTTGCAATTTACCCCTCAACAGTTCTTGTCCTTTACACTAGAGGGCACTATTCTCTTGGTAATGCACACACAAGCTCGCTGCGGGTTGGGATAGAGATTGGCAATCAGGAACATTTATTGCCAAAGTATGTTAGACATCTAAGGAATTTGACATGACAATTGGTGCATAACATAGGACAGTAAGACAATGGACAACAAGACAAATAAGTGCAAGAAGAATGACATGTTCAATTTACAAATTGACAAATGTTTGTATTGTACAATTATTGTATAATAAAACATTGAGACCAATAACGTATGCATTTGTCTGGTCTGAAATATACAGCTCAACTCTTATTGGACTTGAACAAGAATTTTCCTGACATTTCAGTTCCCAATTGCAGGAAAACTCAAAATCTCTTGGTCACCAGAACTCCTTATTCCTCCTTACTTATTTTCAAAATCTTGTTATTTAAGCATCACATAGCAGATGTGACCCATAATTAGTCGCCAACATACATGAATAACAATACTCTGCTTTCATCCAATGAGAAAAAGATGAGAAGCTTGGCATGGTGTAATCATGAACATCTGTGTGTGATTTATGTGTGTGTGTGTGTGTGTGTGTGTGTGTGCGCGTGTGTGCGCGTGTGTGCGCGTGTGCGTGGACATCTGCTTTCTATCACATGGGCTTATGCTGCCCCTGTGCCCTGGGGTGCCATGGTTCAAGTTACCTTAAGAAGACACCTCGTTCAGGGACCGCTAAAACCAAATCTTTGTTGTTTACTAATTTATTTGTTTAATTTATGTACAATATGATCAGGACATTTTCTTTATAAAGATGTGCTATTTGTGTAAGGTCATGAAACCTTTCATGTTGTGTGTGATCTTGTATAAATAATGCTACACAGACAAAAATCCAGTTTCTACTATTAAATTGTACGGTTATTGGAGTTGGTTTTGGATTAAGATATTAGTGTTAGTTGGGGTCAGTCAAGTAATTATTATGGTTACATGTATAGTTTGTGTCTAGGAAATTAATGTGTGTTTGTACAATGTCCTGTGTGTTTGAGAGAGAGAGACAAAGAGATGGACATACTATGTTAAATATAAACCGCCACAGATTGCATCATGAGCTGGTATTGATTTGCAGTGAAGTTGTTAATTCATGACTACATTGAAAATATTTCCAACATCAGTCTGAAAAGAAATACCTATTGCTGACCATTCTGGAAATAGAGTGACATCTTGGATGGAAAGATGTTAGTATACTTTTTAAGTGTCTCATATGGCTTTTTTTCTACAGGTGAGCGACAAGTGAAGACATTCCAATGAAGAGTTCACAACCTGAGCGGAGAGGGTTTGGTCCTCTGATCTTCTACCCATGAGCCAGACAGGAGACGGTGGAACACACATATATGTGGAGGGGGGGTGTAGGGTTAAGTTAGTGTTGGAGGCCAAGGAAAACCCTACTGACCATTGAAGTCCTGGTCAGTAGAGAATACATTTCTCTCTCTCTAAATTATCTGTGATGCACCTTTTTGTTTGTCACTTCTTTATAGTGTTTTCACATGCGCACTATACATCAATGGTCATAATAATGGTCAGAGGTTGGTGTTCATCCGCTTCAGCACACAGGTAAAAAATAAAGCTTTGTTTAGTCCCACATGAAATCTAAAATAAATATGACTGGTTTTACAAGGTTGTGTAGAGAACTAGAAAGGCAGTTGTCCTAATCATCAGCTTCAACAAGCACAATCTCAGCCTTCTAAATTGTGAATATGAATAAGAAGGCAAAACATTTAAGGTTTCACTTGAAGCTAAATTAAATATTCAGATAACTAATAAAACAACTATTTGCTACTCTAATGTTTCTGCAAAAAAGATTGAGTAGAGCTTGCAAAGAACATTGAACAGTTAACCCTTGAAAATGTGACTGAGAGTTTTAGGATAAGTTGCACTACTAATTGGTATTGATCTTCAAATGTAACTCTCAAAAGGAAGGTGACAGGTCGAGATCAGAGTGCTTGTGTTTGTTTACATATGTGACGTACCAACTACGCCACCTTGTTTATTGCACTACAGAGGATGAAACACCAAGAAGACGCATTGAAAATGTTGAAAATGTTATATGTGAATCTCTAAAAAACACACAAGCCATTGAGATTGACTCTCTATTCAATGATAAGACAACAAAAAAACACTATTTCTTTTGTTCAATCATTGGTATGTCCTTTTTCACATATCCCATGTGTTGAATACTTAATTTTATTTCAAACAAATGAAAGTCCAGAAAGACCACACTCCGGTGAGAACATGTTTAGCTATCTATTAAACAATCACACTAAAAAAGAGAAGGAGAGAGGAAAAAATATAATTCCGATGGAGATTACATCAGATAAGAAGACGCAGAGGCAGGAAGAGGCCCGCATTATGGCCATGCAGACTTTCACACATGTTTTCATTCAACCCTTTAAAAGATGCGCTGTTGTTGGAGAAGAATGGAGATCCAACCCGGCAACAAAACTCTCTGGCACGTGGATATTTGGCAAGTGGTCTGATGAGGGATTGTATGTATCATTTTGTTATTGTTAGTTTCTTATTAATGTTTGAAAGCAAAACACTATTTTCATAGTATTTTCATAATACTGTATTATTGTGATTGTAGTAGTTTTGTATTGTGTAGTATATCACTGCAAATTATGTTTTAATCCCCTTTTACTATGACAAGACCCTTCACAGACTAGATTAACACCTAAATACCAAAAACGCATTATGTACTGTTCCTCACACTGGTGTCATATGAACCAAATGCCACATGCACAAACACACACACACACACACACACACACACACACACACACACACGCTATAGGGTTCGGTGACAACGACGAAATAGTTATAGTCAGCTAAAGAAGACGCAATGCCTACGTTAATGGAAAAGGAGCTGCCAGGAGGTGTGGGATGTGCTGGACTATAACTGAGCAAACAAAACGGGGTGCAGACCGGTGGATGGGGAGGGGTGGTGGAAGGAACCAGTAAAGGAACAGAGAGGGGTGCAGAGGGGGGCAGAACATAAAGTTGAGCAGGCATGGGAGGAACGATTTTTGTGTTTGTCTGAGTCTCCCTCAATCCCGAGCACACTCTGTGAGAGAGAGGGGACAAAGAAGGTGATTCTCTGTGACCAGGTAAGTGAGTGCGTTTGTATTCCTTACATGCATGTGTGTGAACATGCGTCTGTCTCTCTGGCTCTGTGCTTGTTGTCTATAAAACCTTTAAGGAGATTAATGAACATGTAATGACACTTATATTTTTGTTAGAGCTGTTCTATTCCTCTGTAAATTCATGGGTAATTATTGGATATTTATTTAACAACTTTGGGGCAGCACTAAGTAACCATTAACAAAGCTGGCAGTCATGGCTAGTTCTTTTGTTTTTTTAATAGTTCCTCTATGAATTCCCTGAGGATTAGGACGTTCAAGAATGTACCTCTCTGCAGACAGTTACATTTCCAGGACAAGTCAGTACACTAAACAGAACCTGTCGCTGCTCATTTAGCATGTTTTCTCAAAAGGTTTGATTTTAAATAGTGGATTTTTATGATTTTTTGTTGTCCTCTATTCATACAAATTCAGTACCTCTTGCCCATATTTTAGTATAGAGAAACTTTCCCCACGAAGATACAAAGAGTCAACACAAAAAAAACGTCTGTTTATTCTCACCTGTATATGTTTCATGTAACCCAATTAACAAAGTGTGAAAAAATGTATCTCTTATTTTAACTGTGTTGCTTTGTCTCTTTGTCTTTGTCTGTGTTAGATTAGAGAGGAAATGTGTGTGACTGTGACCATGCGGGTGGGGCTTGTCTTCCTCTGGTCGGCACTGCTACCGCTCTCTTGCTCAGGGCAGGACCCGTTTGCCTGGCTGCACGGCCCGCAGGGCCTCCGGTATGGCTCCCTGAAGGCAGACACCACGGGAGGGGCATGTCCAGATGAGTGTGACTGCCCCCCTTCCTTCCCAGTCGCCATGTACTGTGATGGGCGGGGCCTGACAGCCATGCCAAGCATCCCCTCCCGCATGAAATACGTGTACCTCCAAAACAATGCCATCAAAGCTGTGTCTGACTCAGCTCTAGTAAATGCAACCAATCTGGTATGGCTCATGATACACTACAACCAGCTGACATCCGACGCCATCGGCGAGAAGGTAAACTGACATCTGGTCTCAGTCACATCCAGCCACACATGTGAGCTCAGAACATGAAACCGTGATGTGCCTCTACGTGGCTGTCAGATGCTTAATTAGGTGAAATACTCCAAAAAAAAGTTATGATTATATTGCTGCATGAGTGATAACATCTGGTGGTCTTTTTCTGATTTTGGACATATGCTTCTTAGTTTAAAGTCAAATGGAAATTAGTTATGTTTTTGTTTTTTTGCTCTGATCAGCATACATTTGTTGGGTAAATCAAAACAATCTATCTGAATCTATCTGCCGTTTAGTGATTTTTTAAAATATTCTTGTTACAGTCTGAACTCAAACCTGACAATGATGCACGCTGCACGTACGTTGGTGCATTTACTCAAAAGCGCAGAGGTATCTGTTTTTAAGATAGATTGTAGAAGTTTTTTTACTGTGGCCTGAAAGGTTCGACGAACAACATAAACAATGTAAACATCTCCAAATACAGCAGAACTGCGGCGCTGGATACGATCTTGACCTCAATGTACGATTAGGTAAAGGTTGTAAGAGCTAGCACACCTATTGACAGGAGGCCAAACACTTACGTTCACATGATTATCATGAATAAGCTCAGGTATAACTGCACAGTATTTCCATTTCTCAAAAGGTAAGGTGTCCAAAAAGTGAAACTACATTTAAGTGACCAGAAGCTGATGCCTTTTATCCAGCTTGGCAACTGTGTTTGAGAGCTGGTGTTGAGCCCTGAGTGCCCTCCAAATTCCACAATGGAACAACAAAAGTAGTGTCCACAAGCACTGTTCCTGACTGCAAAATGGAATAACTAATTGTGATATCATTTGGACTTTTTAAAGCTGATGAGCTATTGTGTGGATGCTAATGAGTTGTTCGTTCTCAAAATCATTTTGTAGGCATTTCTACATTTGAAAGGACTAGAGCGTTTATATCTGCAACACAACAATTTGACTGCCTTTCCTCCAAACCTCCCTCGCACCCTGCGGGACCTACGAATCAACCACAACAAGATTGAAAAGGTAATGTTTTGCATAGTTTCATATCCATGCATCTTCTTCATCTTTTTGATGTTTTGGACAAACATCATAGATGTTATACTTCAGAATCATTTCTACTCTTGCCCAGGTAACGCTTGCAGATCTGGAGGGAATGGATAATCTCACTATCCTGTATCTCCATGACAACGCTGTCACAGACACGGGGACATCACTGAAAGCACTCAAATCCCTCACACTGTTGGAGATCAGTGGTAACAAGTTGACAAAGGTAATTGTGTGTATCTGTGTGTTTGCAAGTTAATTTGCAATCCTTTCAAAATATTTTCTTTAAATCGATCCCAGGTCCCAGAGGCCTTCCCTGAACATCTGCATCAACTCTACATGGAGTCCAACTCCATTGATTCTCTACCAGAAGGTTTCCTGGGGCAGTTCACTCAGCTGCAGTATGTCAGAATGGCTCACAATCAGCTGACAGACAAGGGTATCCCTGCCAACATCTTTAATGTAACTGGGCTGGTAGAGCTCGACCTGAGCTTCAATAAATTGGAGAGAATCCCTCCAGTGAGCACTAAACTACAGCATCTCTACCTGCAAGCCAACCAGATCAAAGGTAAAGTGCATACAGATGTAGTATTAAGGACTTGTGTAGTCGCCACATGCCTTTATAGACAAAAACATTTAAAAAGCTATTTACAAGTTAGTTAAGGGCCTGAAAACATTTCTAAACCAGCCTCTTTCAATGAGCAATCTGTTCTGCATAACACTTTTGGCATGTGCTCCTCACACTGCTTTGTGGACCGTGTTGAAAATCACTTACGTGGACCAATAAGGATTTTTTTAAAGCTGTAAATAAAAACCAGACAGTTGTGTGTTTAATGATGTTTCCAGGCCATAGTCGATCAAATCTGATCAAACAACACACGCACACAGTCCTTATGAAGCAGATTCACTAATGATGGGTTTTTACCAAAACTTGAAATACAATTTGATTATATAGTCAGGATATTTATGGCAAAATAATATTTTTGTAGGTGCTGAGATGTTTGATGTTTACAGTAAAGTTTACACAAATACCGTTCTTACCACCTACCCTTCTGCCCCATTAGAGTTCACTCTGGGTAGTTTCTGCAGCGCTGTGGATGTGACCAACTTCTCTGAGCTCCTGACGCTTCGACTTGATGGGAACCAGATCGGTCCCCAGGACATCCCTACAGATTCAAGCCTCTGCTTGCGCCTGACTTCAAGTATTGAAGTCTAACTGTTCTCATGAAACGTGTCAATCTGCTCACAACACAGCATTTACTAACATATTTAGCCAATATCAATAGCAGATGGCAGCAATTCTTTGGGCAGGATTTCCTATCCACATCACAGTAAAAGCAAAAGTTTTCACATGACAGCGGTTTTAATTGAAGCTGTATAGCAGATATTTTACATTCACATGGAAATTATATCCAGAAAACAAACACATTAAACTTGAAATGAGTTTTGTTCACATATCCGGACAAATGGTCAAGTATTGATTTACTTGATTATAGCTATAACAAGTCATTTAGAGGCTTTTTTGGGCACCTGATCTCATTTTGAAAAAATCTAATTTTACTGCAGCACGATTGAAATGAATCACGCGACTAAGCAATGAAAGTTGGTTTTCAGTAATCACTTTAGAAAGCGTGTATTTTAGACAATGTTTTAGACAATGTTGCAACAGTGGTGGTCCTCTGCAGACTCTGTGTATTGTATGATTAAAAACTGTATTGTGTAGTGTATTAGATGTTGAGATGGAAGTAGCCTAGCAGCTAGCTTACCTTAGCCTAGCGGTGCGTAACTTGGTCCATTTGCGACTTACCACCTTCTTTGACACGTGGAGGAAATCCTCTGTTCGCTGCTGTATGTCGCGCTTCGATTTGTTTTATTTCCAATGCAAAAAGCTCTCTCCATCTTCAGCTACCGTCTTGCTCTCTTCTGTCTAACTGACTAGAGCTGGTTTCGTTTCCGGGGTCAACTTTTTTTACTTCCAGCACAACAGAAGACCGCGACAAAGTTGCGTTTACCGCGTATATATTTTATCGCATTAATCTTGGCCACATTAATCGCTTTAATTGAGACTGTTTAAGTTTTAAGATCCTCACGTAACATTAAATAAAGGTGAATGAGGCCTTTGGCAAAAAAAATGCACAGACAAAAATCATCTGACCCTGATACTCCATATATTCTAATTTGAGGATCAATGATCTTTTTAATCCGTGCTTTTTGCCGTTTCATCTTCTACATCTTTCTACAAAGCATGCCTTGTAAATCATTAGATGTCTTAGACAATATCTTCATCACTCTCTCACGACCATTTCCCGAAATGATACCTTCTTGTAATGGGTACTTTCCTTTTCAAGAAAAATGCTAAAAAAGTGTTTTCGGTTTCTGTAAAGGATTGTTTGAAATAAAAATCAATTTTCTTTAGGAACATAGAATGATAGAATGACGGTAGAATCTGTACCGTTTGAAAAATATACCCATACTATACCATGACCGTTGGGTAAATTAATCAGGATTCTTTAATTACTGTATGATTTACATAGATGGTTATGACAAATGTTTTGATCCTTCAAGCCTTTTCAGAATAAATCAAATCTGTGATTAAATAAAAACACACACTGTACCTTTGGTCTTAATAGTTCATCTGGTATTTGTGAGCACAGTGCTTTAGTGTCTTTGTGCGTATGTGTGTAAAGTGGGTTTGATTAAGGGATTTTTTGGACCAAGCCTTAATTTAAGAAGAACAAACAGACGCACCATAATAAAGTTTGTTCGGGCCAGAGTGAGCTTTTGTTCATACTGAACTGATGCAGCTATCTGTTGAATTAAATAGACACAGTTAAATACACACAGGCCGTTCGTTGACACACGGGAAATTTAGAGTTTAAGCATATGTAGCCTGATTAAAATGATGACAGGACACTAAGATAAATGTATTTCTCTTTAATGTGGGTTCTTTATTTCCCCCGACTGCCCTCCTGGAGCACAGCCTTAATATGTCAAATTAAGGAGGCACTTGGAACAGTGTACAAATAACAAATAACCAGTTGCTTCGCTTCACTAACTAGAACAGGATGTCATGGAATAAAGCTAACAATTACCGTAAGCTAGAAATTACATGAAGCTAACAGTTACATAAAAATCAACAGTAGTGACCCCTTCCTGTTAAACAGAAACAAAGAACATGCACATCGGTCTCATGCTGTTCAAACCCCACACCCTTGTCGTTCCTCCAAAAAGTCCCGAAAACAATAAACTCACTCAAGCGCCGGCGTGCACGGCTCCATGCACGTGCAACCTCAACCCACAGCAGCTTGTTACTCCCCTCTAAACGAAGCAGAGGTGCATAACCCAAGAACATACACTCAGTAACAGTCCATCAATCACAATTTACATGGTGAGACAGGTTTATTAATGTGAGAACACTTACGCTGACCCGCTGAACAGGTATTTCCCTAACGCTGTTCCGATGCTAACCGCTAACACTGTGTGGTGTTAGTAGCCACTAGGTCCCGCTCTGCAGCTCCAAATCCCACGTGAACTCATGCCAATGTACTTAAAGGGGCAGTACGCCCTCGCCCTCTGTGCGGACCATCTAGCAGTCCAAAAACCTCCCTGCCCCCACTTCACCCGGCTACACATCCATTGACCTATAGCTTACTGTGAGCAGTCCCTGGAAGTTTATTTATTCAGATCTGATCATAGACATCAGCAGATGTCAGGGCTGTCCTGTTCATCCAGGCGGGATAGTCACAGGACGCTTGACGTGTATGTAGTTTTCTTCCAACACTATATTTTGTATTTGTGGCCACATTCCTTTGGAAAACGTAATTAAAGCTGACGTATATTACAGGTTTCCAGTGGTTAGGTGGTGGCCACACGTCACTGACCAGAAACCGCCGCAGACATCTAAAGACCATTAAGCAGCATGCATTACTCAAAGATGTCATGAGCAGGAATACATCACCTCTCAGTCTGTTTGAAGGCCATAAGGTCAGGTAACATAAATGGTGACACTAATTACTCTACTACAAACAAGCCAGTTTTATCTCTCTTTCAATTCAAAGGATCACAAAAAAAACAGTCAAGAACTATATCAGAGCTGGAGTAGCAAAGCTATGTTTAAAAGCCAGAATAATGACAAATGAACTATGTTTTCTGAGACTTGATCAACTGTAGGAAAAAAAATGTTTGGCTGGCAAAATAACATACACATATTTAAAAATGAAACCATATTTGATGACATCTTGGGCTGAAGGACCTTTATATTTTGACATGATGGTGGCACTTAAATAAATATTTAACATAGGGGGGGCAAACCCATAAAACAACCATCCAACTCTACAGCTCCTCTGCAGTCCCATCACTCCCGCAGTATTATTATAGGCTATTGCTGTTGTTGTTTTTGCAAAAAAATTACACAACCAAAATAAGTTAGTGACAAACGTGTGAACATTGTGAAGCACTTGGCTGATAAAAAGCCAGGTATTCCCTTCAAGAGTTCAAAACCTACATTTTCTAGGTGTCAAGAAACACACAAAATGTAGGTCGAAAACACAGCTTCACATGAATGGTAATGTTGTACTGCATATGTTGGATGTGTAAACAAACAACTGTTCTGCCTGTTCACGCCATTTCTGTGATAGGTTCATAGTTTGTAACTAATATAACCCAATAAAAGAAAAGCACTCATCATGTCAAGACAAACCATCCATCCATCTGCAAACCGCTTATCCTGCACACAGGGTCTCTGGAGTCCATTCCAGCCAACTTCGGGCAATAGGGAGGGTACACCCTGTACTGGTCGCCAGCCAATCGCAGGGCTACACAGAGACATACAACCATTCACACTCAAATTCACACACCTACAGGCAATGAGAGAGTCACCAATTAACCTAATCTCCAGAGTATGTCTTTGGACTGTGGGAGGAAGCCGGAGAACCTGGAGAGAACCCACGCAGACACGGGGAGAACATGCAGACTCCACACAGAAAGGCCACTGGGCGGACTTGCTGTGTGTGACTGTCCATGACTATTACCATAAGTGTGATCCGTTGATCAATGGGTGAAGCAGGACTTTTGCATGTGATCTGACATGGTTGTGGTCATCATCAGCTGATGATTATGAGACACATATGTTTATGCTAACAGCCCAGTGATTATGTGTAGATGTCACCAACCAAAATGAGATCCAGTCACAAGGGGCTTTGGGAGTAGTCTTTAAGATGTGGTTCCTGAGCCAGAGTCTGAGTCAGCCCCCCCACACACACACGCAGAATGTAAACTGTTTTGTCTATTTATCAGTACAGAGAAAATAATGTTTTTAGCACTCTTAACACATTCTCAGGTGAGTAGTCACCTTCATTGTATTTTTATAAAATCTAGTATTGAGAGAGTATTATAGGAAATAGCAGAGTCAAAGTAGAGTCAGAAACATTGACATAATACAGAGAGCAACACTGACCAGCTCTATATCAGATTGAGTCGGTGTAGATTGGTCAATAATAACAGCAAGAGGATAACTTAATTTACTAATGTGCATTAAGCAATAATGACAGTGTAAAAATGCTAATTTCTCAAGTAGCTCAGCGGTGGTGGGGGGGAGTGTCCTGGTCAGGGGATTGGATAGAAAACACGACTCCATTGTCGGTCTTGGGGCTTTAAACCTGAGCAACCTGAGTGATTTGAATTTCTAATAGAGAAAACAAGCTGATGAGAGGACATGCGGAATTACAGCTGGGACAGTTTCAAGGATTTAATTTCCAGAAATCCTGTTGTCGTCGACCAGGTAAGATTTCAAACCTGTTTGACCAGACTTTTCACTCAATAAGTAACAAAAACTTCATACAATTTTTTAATGCGTGATAATGCAGGCAATGCCACTCTATGACTGATCTAAAGGTGTTCATGCTGAAACAAAACAATCAAGATCAAGTTAAGATGATTAACAGTGAAATTAGTTTCAGAATAAGGCTGAGGAATAAAGTCCTACAATATCTGTATATTTTAGTAAAATGTTATTATATATATTTGTATGGATTCATTTCAGAATTTTTCTTAGTGCAGATGTTACTCCAATGATTTGATAACACAAAATATGAGACAATTTACAACGATTATCACGTTATTTCCCTATAATTCTTCAATGAGCAGGATCCACATGTGGATGGTAGCGATGAGAACACTGATCGCGGGAACTGGGCCAGCAAGACGGAGTATATTCTCTCTACGATTGGCTATGCTGTTGGACTTGGAAATATCTGGAGATTTCCATATCTGGCCTACAAGAATGGAGGCGGTAGGTATCTATGCGTTGGTGATTGACATCCTGTTGGAAAGCATTATTATTGATATTCTTTTCAATCCGTCACTTTGAGCAGGTGCCTTTCTTATTCCCTACTTTGTGATGTTGTTGGTGGCTGGAATTCCCCTTTTCTTCCTGGAAAGTGCCTTTGGGCAGTTTTGCAGCCAAGGTCCAATTAATATATGGAGAGCCGTGCCAATGCTGCAGGGTAAGACTAACTTTCAAGTTTTGTGAAAGATCAGTCAGGTACATCTAAGAACAAATATGTCAAACATGAGGGATTCAGTGAGGCTTTTGGTTAATGATTCATTGTGCAACAAAAAATGTGACTTGACTTCAAAAGGAGCTTTTGGTTGTTTGATTTTAAGGCTTTGACCCCTTTAAGGCAAACACATAATCAGCCGAACCCAAGGTAAAAGATTACAACTGAAAAAGCTGTTGTTAATCTTGTCGAAGTTTTGAAACAGACAACTGCCCTATGTCAGTGTAGCCTTAGGAGGATTAACCAGAAAAGACAGAAAAGTTATTTTGAAAATAACTTGTTACATTAGTGAGTATGAATGTGATTTGTTACTGCTGTTTATAATGTCTCTTTCTTCCTCCTCAGGTGTTGGCGTTGCCATGGTTATGGTGACGATGATAGTCTCGATTTATTATAATGTCATCATCGCTTATAGCCTGTACTACATGTTCGCCTCCTTCCAGTCTCCTCTGCCGTGGTCCAGCTGCCTCAGCCGGGCTGACAATAACTGCAGCAACACTCCTATAGGTGCCTTTTTATCTCCAATTTCTTTGTAGTATTTTATGGATCAAATTTGCTGTTTGTTGGAATCTGATGTGTTAGACAAGATTACAATTTCTGATACAAATGATAGATTTAAAGCAGCATTAGATGGCTCACTACACTACTTCAGTTCAGAGCAGAATAACATAATAATGAAATAATCTGGAAATAGAATACTTGGAAATACTCACTCCTCACAGCTTCTCCTTTTATAGTGTACTGCAATTCAACTGGTGTTTTAGTAGCCAACTGGACTCAGGAAAACATCACTTGCCCTTCATCAAACATGATCACAGTTCCACTGCAGAGCCCGAGTGAGCAGTACTGGGAGTAAGAATCACACACTCGTGCAAACAACCACAAATACACACACTTGTCACACTGCTGTGTCTGTACCCTCAGATGTCTCTCCTTCTCAGTCTTGTGGCTCTACAGAGGTCCAGTGGTCTGGATGAAACAGGACCAGTAGTTTGGCACTTGGCTCTGTGTCTGCTGCTAAGCTCCATGATTGTTGCGGCAGCGCTGATCAGAGGCATCAAGTCATCAGGCAAAGTGAGACAGCATCCACCTCTTAGCAAGTCCTCGTCCTCAGTTCAACTTAAGGGCCAATGAAACTCAAACAGCCAAATGGCCCTCATGTCAAAAGACTTGATCCATGCTTAGCTGTCTACATGAAGTACATTGTTCCAACTGCTATCTGAGTTTTCTCTGCAAAAGCACCTGTGCAAAATTTTGGGATATCAGCTTACTACCAACCTACTATCAACCACCCGGCTAGCAGTTCTGTGAGGCTGTAAAGACAAGGCAGTGCTTTGAGCTGAATATGTTTACAATGTTATGTCCTGATGGATCTTACAATTTACTATGCAAGAAAATGTAAATTAATTATTGACTTTTTTGCCATTTTTACTCTCTCTACACTACACTCTTATCTTTTGTCTCTTCAGGTTGTTTATTTCACCGCTACTTTCCCTTACGTGGTGATTCTGATCCTGCTGATCAGGGGTGTGACGCTAGAGGGAGCCATAGATGGGATTGAGTTCTACGTTGGTTCTCAATCCAATTTAACTAAACTGACAGAAGCACAGGTAGAGAAGCAGGGACCCAACTATCCATGTCTATATCCAGCAAAGCATAGAAATCTAAGTTTATTGATTAAAACTATGAATATGTGTTTTAAGGTCTGGAAAGATGCGGCAACTCAGACCTTCTACTCTCTTTCGATTGGCTGGGGAGGAGTCATGACTCTTGCTTCTTATAACACCTTTCACAACAATGTATTCAAGGACGCATTTGTTGTATCCCTTACTAATGCTGGTAGGAGCACAGCAACTGTAACTGCATTATTTAAAGACATTTCAAAATATTTTCGGTGTTTATCTATTTATCTATCTCATGTTTTAGGTACTAGTGTCCTTGCAGGCTTTGCCATATTTTCAATCTTGGGTCACATGGCGCACATTTACAAAATGCCAGTTGGAGAAGTGGTGAAGGAAGGTCAGACAGACACACAATGTGGGTACAATTAATATACATTTTTGAAGACCTCCAGGCAGCCATTGATGTTCTTTTTTTCTTTGTCTTTGAGAAGGATTTGGCCTGGCATTCATTGCATATCCAGATGCTCTGTCTAAGCTTCCTATTTCCCCCCTGTGGTCCATTTTGTTCTTCTTCATGCTTTTGACTGTTGGTCTGGATTCCCAGTTTGCAGGAATAGGTGAGATATCCAGTCGTCATTCACACAACCACAAAGACCATTGCTGTTGCGATAGAATGCTCAATCCTGAAATCTCTCCATCATTAGAGGTGATCACCACCTGCCTGCTCGATTCCTTCCCTAAAATATTCAAATCCAAACGAGCTTTGTTGACTATTACGACATCCTCCATCCTCTACCTACTGGGACTGCCATGTGTCACAAGGGTAAGTCTACTTTAGTGAAACTTAATGGAAATTCGGCTATCGACATAGGCCCACTTAACTTACGATACTTCTCTATGTGTGTCCGTCCGTGTGTGTATCTGTGTGTCTGTGTGTGTTTCCGAGACAGGCAGGAATATACTGGGTGACTCTCATCGACCAGTTTGCTGCCAGCTGGGTGCTGCTATGTTTGGCTCTCTTGGAGATCATTGGTGTCAGTTACATATATGGTGAATATGATAACTGGAGATATGTGCACATTACATTACATGTCATTTAGCTGACGCTTTTATCCAAAGCGACGTACAGTAAGTGCATTCAACCATAGGGTACAAGAACATGAAGGTGACAGAGCGCATTCAAGTACAGCTTTGCACATTTAGGCCTGTGTATTCTTCTGATGGATTCTAGGAGGGAACCGTTTTATCAAAGACATTGAGATGATGATCGGAAACAAGAGTTTCACTTTCTGGCTGTGGTGGAGAGCATGCTGGTTCTTCATCACTCCCTGTGTTATAGTGGTGAGTACGTCAGGACACAATGCACCCAGCACGAAAGATCTCATATATAATATATTTTTAATAATTTAATATTATTACATCCTCTAACTTGTATTTCAAGATCTGAATTACAGTTAAATGAATTTCATGAAATCATCTGGATTTTCTATCTAGGTGATCCTGATCTGGTCTCTGATGACATTTACGCCTCCTTCCTATGGTGGAGTCGCGTTCCCTGACTGGGGTTTGGCTCTGGGCTGGTGCATGGCTGTATTTATGCTCCTCTGGGTACCCATCATAGCGCTGTATAAACTAATGAGAGCCGAGGGAAGCCCCTGGAAGGTGCGTATGTGTGTTATGATAACTGACAATGCAAGGTGGTTATCTAATGTTGTCTTTTTAAATATTTTGCATAAGCGTAGCAATTATCACAGCTTGAGATTGATTCCACAATTTTAAAGACATTATGCTAATCGCTGACTTTCCACAGCGTCTGAAGTGCTTGTGCTCTCCAGCTGAAGAGTGGCATCCCTATCTGGACATCCACCGAGGAGAACGCTACTCACAGGAACGCTGCCGCCTGAGGATGAACCATACAACCAAACCAGAAGTAAATGTGAATATAATCTCGAGCTCCTGGCTGTGATGTGTGTTTGTACGTGTTTATGCTTTCTTCTCTTGCGTGCAGCACTGTGACATGTGAACATTACATTGAAGTTATATTAATTGAGTTATGAGGCAGAGAGCGACCATCCACATTTTCCTGCTGGAGCAAGAAGGCCGGAGCAAACACGCTTGTGTGTGCTCTGGTGTTTACAAAAAAGGAGACAGAGCCATTCAGAGCTAATCATATCTAAGGAAATGATACAGCCACAGAGATTGTGCTATTATTATTTTTTAATTAAATATTTTAAGATTCCCACTTCTAACAAGGGAGAAAGTGTGACATATAGAGGCAGAATTGTATTAATGTTATCAATAGCACATCTCATTCAGTGTATCAACAATAACGTTTTCCGCAGCTATAGAATCAGCCTATTGTTTTTATTTTGTCACTGATCCATTCACTTGTATTCATTCCATTTCAATTCATAACAAATGCTTAATGTTCTGTAACTAGTGACTAGTTTCACTCAGTTTCTTGTCAGTTACTTACGTTTGGTTTGCTCCCTCAACAATATATTAAACAATAAACAATTGTGTCCATCTCTGACTGTAAATGGCATATCGATCAGATATTTCTAAATGTGTTAAAGCTCTGCAACCAGAGGAGTCTCGCCCTGCTAGCTATACGAAAGAACGCCAGTTGAAGGTACTCACACATTGCCTTCACTTTCCAGAACTGCCTTAATTCTGCCTTGAAGTAAACAGCATGTCTGTGTGTAAGACCGCGTAAGACAGCAAGTTGCATTGCACCAAAGTCAAAGATTTTATTTGAACCCAAAACATATGCAAATGAGTGTAAAACTCATTTGCTAATTTATTACGTACACCTAGCAAAAAATGACAGCAACGCAGTCCACAAACGATGCAAGTTTTAATTTTTTTACCTGTGTTGATTCAATTGTCACATCATTTTGGAGTCTGCAATATATTGTTGTATTGCAATCTACTGACACGTTACATGTCATTTAGCCAAAGCGACTTACAATAAGTGCATTTCAACAAGAAACAAGAAAGTGCAATTTCATCAAATAGGCCCATCTATAACTTGCTTTAGATAAGAGCCATTACAAGTACAATTTTAAGTGCTACAATTTGTTTAATGTTTTTAGTCAAGGTATAGTCTGAAGAGGTGTGTCTTTAGTTTGCGGCGGAAGATGTGAAGGCTCTCTGAGGTCACTATGTGACTAGTCACTATGTGAAGATTGATATTTAATCCACCACTTTAGTTCATTGCATCAACCACTGTCCGATCACTATTGTTCACTCATGCAGAAGGAGCATACTGAAAAAAAAGCTGAAAACTGGATAAACTGCTGATTTTTGTTGTTGTAGAGAGAGTATCTAATAATGTGACTGCTAATGGTTGTTTGCATTCATGTAAACAGAAAGCTAAAATGATCTGATAGTGATTTGTTTGATAGGAGAATATAAAAGCCGTCTTAATACAGCAAAAATCCAAATAGCATATTTGATTATATACAGGTGTAATTGCATCCAATGTTAATGCACCATTGAACAATCTTTGAACATGCAATTCATCAACCCCTTGGTATGATAAAATATTTATAGGGTAACATTTTGTAGGGTTGCATCTATTTTCCCGCACAAATCAATACGGTTTGTAAATGCGTGTTTCTTAGCATGCTAAATCACTACAGAAAACATTCACGGTCGCTGCGAGGCCTTACCGCTCGCTTTTGCGCCATTGTGAGCGAGCAGATCAATCTGACACAGAATGACTTATCTGTCTCATCTCTAGTTTGAATGTGTGTATCCGTCATTATCGCGGGTCGGTGTGACCGGAGGGTCACAAAAAGGGTGAATTAGATGAATGAACGCTTTTTGTTTGAGGATCAAAGCAGCTCTGCAGCGACTAACTTTATTCTACTTTAAAGGTTTTCAGGTTTTATGATTTTACTGTCAAAAAACGTACAAGATAATCCATCACAGTTCTCAGAAAGTGCTTTAAATGTGATATTTATTTGCGTAGAAACATGAATTGTTTAAGCCCAGTTGCAGCACTTGCAGCTGGTATCGAACACCAGGCCGACAGCACAGTGCTGGGAATAGGTACTTCCCTGGCTACAATCATAGAAGCTGTTCTTGTTGGTTGGATCGGGGTAGAGCCCGTTAGCTTTGCCAGCGCAGAAGCCGGATCCTGTGCTGCTGCCACCGCTGCTACTGCCGCCTCCACCGCCGCCAGCAGGCTGGGGAACAACAGCCTGTGTTGGTGCAATTGGAGGCAGGGGGACAGTGCGAGAACTGCAGGCTGGAGAGAGAGATGAAATCATTTTAAAGATAGAAACAGTATTATATCTGTTCATTACCAGTGATTATGGTGTTTTATGCATACAAGCTCCAGTTCCCAGTCCACTCTTGATGGTGTTGATCAGGGGGTATCTTCCCTGGCCACAGAAAGTGCCGCTGAAGTCGTCCAGATCCAAACTCCACACCATAGCTCCACCGAAACCACTCTGCTTCAACCACTGAATCTGTAGAGCGAAAGACAGGTGGAATCCAGACTTAAATAACCTTGACACACAGATGTTTTGGGAAATAATTCAAGTAATGTATAAAACTTCATACTTTATTCTGGAAGCTCTTAATATTGTCGTATCCAACCCAGGTTCCCTGTTTGAAGGCATATGGCACCATCTGTGGGGCATCCCAAGCCTGAGTTGCTCCTTGCTTCAGGAAAGTGCAGATCTGATGGAGGGGGTGATATGTTATACTGTTTAATAATGTATCCATTGCACACAAAGATTCATAAAGAGAAGGACAAACCTCATAGTAGGCCCAGAAGCCCGACTGACGGGTGAAAGGTCCAGCAGCTCCGGGTCCACTAGCAGGAGCTCCCACAGAGGTGTCAGAGGAAGCCAGGCGGAAGGTGTGGCCGTAGGTGGGGAAACCAACGAGCAGTTTCTCAGCTGGGGCACCATTGCTCTTCCAGTAGTTCATAGCATAATTCTACACATGAGAAGGTTCATGTCATTGTGATAATCCGTTACTTTGTTTGATTCTTATTCAGATTCAGAGCAGGAGCCCTCACTCACCACATTGAAGTAGATCATGGAGCCCTGGTCAGAGGGACCCTTGTACAGAGGGCTGTTCTCTCCGACATTGTGCTCCCAAGAACCGTGGAAGTCGTAGGTCATGACGTGGAAGTAGTCAAGCACACTGGGGAACAAGACATGATGAGAATTTGAATGTTTAGTCATGGCCTCTATAGAACAATAAGTGTGCTCATGTACTTACGATCCAATCTGGGCAATCTGGTATCCAGAGTCGATGGTTGCCTTTCCAGCAGAGACTGCCGCAGTCAGCATCAGACGGGGACGGCTGGTCTTCTTGCCCTCAGCCTCAAATGCACTCATTATTTCCTACAGATGGGGAGGAGAGAGGAGTTGCTTTACCATTACATTTTTTGTGAAAGGTTTTGTAAAATTTGTTTATATTTGATTGCATTTTATTACTTTCAACATATAGCTTAATTGAAAGTGTTGATATCTCATGGGAAGATTTGGTGGCCAAACCACAAAGTTAAACCACAGTGTTTAATCACACTAAGGCTGGCTTACCACCTACAACCTGACTTGTTGTAGCTTGAAATTCAATAGCAATAGGACCGACCTGGACCAAGACGGTGTAGCGCTGCTTGTCCTGAGCTGGAGAGCCGCGAGAGCCAGGGTACTCCCAGTCGATATCCAGACCATCGAACTGGTACTGACGCAGGAAGTTGATCACGCTGTTGATGAAGGTCTGGCGGTTGGCGGCAGAGGAAACCATAGCTGTGAACCTGGAGAAAGGAAGACAGTAAGAGAGCTGCTAAGAGAGTGCAACACGTTTCTTATGTGTAGAGCATTGATCCTCATGTGTCCTCGACTTACTTCTGAGTACCAAAGTTCCATCCTCCGATGGCCAGCAGAGTCTTCAGGTTGCTGTTCCTGCAAGCAGCAACACCTTCCACTTTAACCTCTCCCACTCAGGTGCATACAGTATGCATTGATGTGTGTTTTCATGTGTGCTGGAGTCACACTACAATGACACTACATGTGTACTCACTGGTTCTTCAGGGCATGGAACTCTCCGTAGAGTTTTTCATCGTCCCACTCGTAGGTCTTGATCATGTTGCCATCCATTCCAGCAAAGGCATAGACGAGGTGGTCACAGAGACACGGGTCAACGTCGGTGGGGAAATACTTGCCTGCTCCGGGACGGTACTGTCCCCAGTTGGTGAAATAACAGGAGAGGATGTAGGATGATCCTGAAACATATTACATTACAGGTCATTTAGCTGACATTTTTATCCAAAGCGACTTACATTGCATTTTTAACCCATGGCTTTTTTACATTTTTGCCCGGGGAACAATTAGGGGTTAGGTGTCTTGCTCAGGGACACTTCGACATGGGGCAGCCGGGGCTCGAACCACCATCCTTGCGGATCCCGGTGCACCCTCTCTACCCCTGTGCCACGACGACCCCTCACATATGGAATAATTGTTCTTATATTGTGTCACAAATGTAAATAGGTCTACACAAACTGTATGACACCAAACATAATGAATAAAAAGCTCATAATTACCCAGCTGCACATGCAGCAGGAGAGCCAGTCCTGCACATAGAGGAGACAGAATTCAGTGAGGAGGAGGCAGGTTCAGCATTGATGAGAAGCATTCTCCATTATAAACAAGATGAACCTAAGTTAAAATTTGCAAAGGTTTGAAAGTTTCTATGAGCAAGAAGCTTACCGACGCATATGAGTAGTTTGCCCATGTTGCTTCTGTACAACGGACCGAGAACCTGTGGACTCTTTTATACTCCTAAGTTCCTTCTCACATCTGCATTATCTGTAACATTTATTTGATTAACCTAGAGCTAATCTCATTCATTTGTTTGTTTAACCACAGCCGGAGTGGAAAGCACTGATAACCTTCAAATGGCTTTTGATAATGAAATGATGTGATTAAATTAGACATTTTCAAGATTACCGTTGTTGGACAAAAGTTGCATGATACTAAACAGCATCTTAAACTATTTTTTTAAAGTTTTTTGGTATTGTGAATACATCAATGGTTTGTCACTATTTATAATCTTAGGTAACCCAAATACTTTTTAGACAGCATAAGTAGTTTCACTATTTTCCGTTTACATAAATTGTTTGTACCTTAAGTACTGTGCTACATGCCTTATCACCTTCAGACATAATGTAATAGAAGGTAACACTTCTAGTTCAGCACCTTAAATAAACTGTGCTGTTTGTCAGGCTCTTTGTCCTTTCTCGTCCTTGTGGATCAGCAGTTTGGTGATTGTAATGCATTAATTCTTTAAAAGGTACACATTTGCCTCAAAAGGGTTGAACATGACATTTAAATGCCTAATTTTAATCTAAAAAACTAGCAGTTTATTACTAAATAGTAGCATGAAATCCTTTTGATGAAACTAACCAGATTTCTGAAAGGTTTGATATGAATATGAGAACGGAAAAATCATTTTATAAACTTTTATTAATAAGGACAGAATCGGGCTGCAACGGATCGTCTACATTAA